GGAAAAACAAAAAATATCGTGTATCCACAAACACTCCAATAAATAAATAGAATTGAAACGACACTTTGAAATGTTTTTCCGATGAAAATGAATAATAATAATATAATAAGTTTCAATAAAAATGATAAAATGAAAATTGAATTTTATCATAACGAGTTTGCTTGAATTTCCTTTCTTCTGAGATCGCAGCAATGCATGACGGGTAAGCTAGTTGAACATAAAAAAATACTGTTTCAAATGAGATTCTTTAACTTTTTTGTCAAAATTACTGTAGGGTTTTTGCTCTGCTGTAATTGGAGAAACAATTAGGGTAAAAAGTCAGAATGTCTGACACCAGTCAGTATTTTCTCAAGAGAAGTGACAAACTCAGAACATGTAAGGTGGACATTTTAACTTTTTTTCATGGGAAAAGTATATGACCATTAGAAAAAGGAGATGTGAGACTAACCTTCAACTTTTACTTTTAAGACAATTTTATTCACATATGTATCTATGTGCAATGTAAGAAAAACAGAATTTCTGTTACAGGATTTTTATGAGTTTTTCTTACATTGCATCCTTCTTGCACATAACATACGCAAGTGCATTGGCTGCATATTTTCCCCAGGGAGAAAGAATGTGTGAGAGTTCTGAAATAGAGAGTCGTTAATAAATCCCTTAGTCTTTTGGAGTGGTTCCAAAAGAAATGTGACCATAGGGTCGGTATCTCTTCGATACCTTGTCAGGATGACACCACTGTATCCTTCGGTCGATACAGAGACCACAAGTTCGTGCGAGCGGATAGGTATGAGGGTTGGACCCGGAATGGAGAAACTGAGAGCAAAACGGAAGAAACTGCACTCCAGAAGTTTAAACATAAAAACTGTTTATTTATATATAATCTAAATTAGGTTTACATCAGCGAATAAAATGCGAGCATAAACTACATGAGTAGGGTTCAGTTATTATTCAATTTTTAGTTCAAATTAACGACCGGGTGCGCGTTTTGTTTATGCAGAGAGAGAGAGCATACAATAGTGCACGGGCAGGATAAATACCTTAGGTTATATAAGAGATCAAGTCCAGCACAAAAAGTCCAACAGTTCTTTTCAGGTGAGTAGAAAAATTTCCATTGAGGTCTTCTAGTCTTGTAGTTGAGAAGAAGGTGTTGGTTGACGGAATCTCGGCAGGAGGTAGACGTTCGGAGTGCACACACAGACACCAATAATAATAACTTCCACACCCTTACTCATCATGCCTGGCCCTTTTATATCAAGTCCTTTTTTTCGAACTTTTCTCCGATTTCGTCAGCGATGACGATCTTCTTGGTCCAATGAGGGGACGGGTGACACAATCGTGACACAGAAATGTACTCATCTCAACAAGGAACCCAACTTGTGGGAATCGAGTTTTTATTGATTTTATTTTTCCTTTTTCTCTTTTAATTTTCTGTTTTCTCGTTTCGTCTTTATAAAGTTTATAAAAAAAAATTTTAGTTTAAAACACTAAATTTCTGGTCCTCACAGAAACATTCAGACTGCATATTCAGCAAAGTAAAAGTTCATTGGAATCTTGAACATCTTTTATCCATTTCCCTCTGGTGATTAGAACTACACTTTTTGTTCTGTCAAGAGATGATTCTACAAATGATGAAAAGGACTTGATCTAATCAATGATAACAGAACACATCCTGGATGGCCACTTGAACTTAACTCTCTGGATTAGTCCATGGGGAGCAACAAGGATGGATAAATTCTCGTCTGATAGCTCAGATGCTTCTCTCTTTCATTTAACTCTTATCTCTTAAAGATCTTTCTCTTGGATACCACTTATAAATCATAAGCATTGTTGCTGGATAGTCAGTTCATCTTTCATTTCAATTGGATTCTTGAACTATCATCAAAACTTTAGAGTCATTCAGGGATCAGTTCTTTTTCCAGAGAAGATTTTCTTACCTGTTTTTCTGATTAAATTTATTGTTTTAACACAATAGAGTTTGATTACTGACATATCTATAGTTTCAGGGTTTGAAGTTTCATTTGACATAACATAAAATTTTTTCCTTCTAAACAACAATTTTGTTTTTTTCTATTTGTTCCCAAACACTTTGTGTTCACACAAGTCACTGAATTTTTGATTATCTGACCCATACACATTCTTTGGTATTATGATGAGATTGACCTCATAAATTACATTACACCACACCAGGATAAATGTAATAATGATCACAGAATCAATTTCTAGTATGTATAAATGAAAATGAGCACAAACATTTTCTAACTCTTTCTGAGTTCTTCAGGTGCAACAGAACAGTTACCCGATGGAAAATACTTTGGAACAAATGTGGAATTATATTCTTTTAAAAATTTTTATAAATTTATATTTGTTTCAAAGAATGTTCCATTGGGTAACTGTTCTGTCACACTTGAAGAACTCAGGAGTTAGAAAACATTTGTGCAGAGATCATTTGCATTGACCTCATACTGTACTAAGTCTTCTACCTTAAAACAGTTAACTGACTTTTCAGTTACTCTATACAGATATATAAAGTAAAATATATATTTCATGTCAAATGTTTATGATAAGCATTATTGTCATTATATTTCAACTATTTAAATACATTATCTTATTTTTTTCCTTACACAGACATTATCTTATAAAAATCATTAAAATTGACATACAAAAATGAAAAAAAAAATAAATATATANTCATCAGAATTTTCATAAGTATTACAATTATCATAACAAGATTCATAATAAATACAATATTTTGTATTTATTATGAATCTTGAAATATATGAACTTAAAATATATGTTTATGATGCTAAATATATATTTAGCATCATAAACATATATTTTAAGTATAATTAAAAATTATATTAGCTATTTTTCTCATGAATATTATCGATTGATTAAATATTAAAATATATAATAATTATAATGGTATTTTTTATATTACAGGTTTTGAAACCAGTTTGTTTGGATACAAAATATTGTATTTATTATGAATCTTGTTATGATAATTGTAATACTTATGAAAATTCTGATGAATATTGCATTGTAAACTACACTCTTCAATACATGATCCAAACCTCTTGTACTAAATCAGTTCCACATGATGTCTCTTTTGAAATAAAATTCAAAAAAACAATTAGTGTTGACATTGGATATAATAGCATTGATATTGATGAACTAATTGAAGTGGAACCAGGAGACATTGTTGGATTTTCATCAAAAACATCAATTATTCCATCAACATCATCCTTCAATTCAGATGAGTTTGTTGATACTGATAAAAATGGAAATTCTCTTGATGTGAGACATTATTTTAGAGTTTTTGCAACAGAACCAGTTGAATATCATATGAAGTATACTTTTAATGAAGTATGTACTTAATTATAAAATAATAAAACTACAATAATTAAATTTAAAAATGATTTATATTTATGTTATTTTAGCTTGGAACATATAATGTGACTGCAGAAACTTCATGCTCAAACACTGGTTCAGTCAATATTATTAAAAAAGAAATACTAGTATTTTCAGACTTTGGATACTTTAATGTATCTGTACATCCAACATTAATTGCAGTTGGTGACAAATATACTATTAAAATTATTACTTCAGGAGGAATTGATATTGATTTAGTTTGGGATTATAAAAATGGGACAACAGAACAAGAATTCATAAGCTGTAAGTTTAATAAAATGTTCTATACATTTATATATTACAAGTGCACTTAAATTAGAATATTATAAATAAGAAAATTTCTGAAAATTTGATTTAGATTTGAGTTTGCTCAGAGCAACAAATTGATGATTTTACTAAATTTGCCATTTGGCCATTAAATTTATTACTATTAAATATTTTAATTATAAAGTGTTACGTATTATCCGAAGACAGTCTATAAGAAAATGGCATCTAATAGAAAATGTTTTGTATATCACAATAGCATATTTTTAAACTATATTAAGAAATTTTCAAAATATTTATCTTTTATTGCTTGTTTAAGAATTTTTTCTGTATTAAAATGTATAGTTTAAAGGGAAGGGTTAACAGAAATAATTTTTTAGACTTGCACTATTGATAATAGTTTTCTACAAACACTTGAGATTATTTTAAAAATAGTAATGAATATCTATATAAAACTATTATTTAATGAATAATGTTGTAATACTGATTATTCATTTATCTATCACTAATGCTACATGCATAAAACATTTATCAAGACTTCAAGATAACAATATTATTAATTATGTAAGTTCAAAACTCTGCTTTGTTGAAGCTTAGTAACTTAAATTACCATATTTGCCAGCTTATAAGATGCATTTTATTCCCAAAAAATATTGTCTGGAAATAGGGTGCTACTTATATGCCAGCAAATATGGTAAGTATCACTTTCTCAAATAATATTGAGCAATCAAGTCCCTCATTGACAAAAACAACAACAAACTGGCTAAAATAATTGAGTTAGTTTTGAGTCTTTATTTATAAAAAATTGGAGTTTATTCATTTTTTTTCAACAATATTATTTTCACTTACATCATATGATCAATAAAAATTTATGTATGCAGAATTATTGATAACTGTGATCAAAAATAACTCTTAAAATTTTATTAATTGCAAAAATATCATTAACATGGACCAAAAAAATCAATAATGTGATGAATATTCAGATATTTATTATTTTATCCATTTTATTTCTTTTTTATATTTTAGTAGTAATATTTATATATATAATATTCTATTTTANAATAAAAACAAATTTTTTATCTTCAAATATCAATTTTACACATATTCTATACATTTTTAAAAACTATTTCATTTTTTAAAAACTTGTAATTAAAAATTTAAATAAATAAAAGTTTATTTTAATTATTTTTCATAAATTTATATTCCTATTAATGATGATTGTTTTTTCAGCTATTCCACCACTTTTTTCAAAAGATATTGTATGTTTGGAAAAAGGAGATCATACAATAGAAATCATTGCTTCCAATGACAATGGCAGTGTGAGTGATATAGTGACATTCACATGCATATACCCTGTTACTGATGACTGGAAACTTAAATCTGATTCACCACAATGTATTCCACCTGGTAAAGTTAATTGTTATATAAATATTATTAATTAAAAATATATTTAATATTTTAACTTGTATTTGTTTGTGTTCTGATAAAGAACATTTAATTGAGAATATGTTTGTCTAAAATTTTCATTCTGCAACTGTCTATTATGTTCTAGTTTTTGACTCAAAAAAGATTAATTATGATGATAATTTTTATTAAATATAAATCTTAATTTTATATGTGTGTATTTTTAAATTATTGTAGCAATTACATCAAAACTAAATTTTCTTTAAATTACAAAGAAGCTTTAGAACGTTTTTTTTCTGTTTTCCTTTTAAATGTTAAATGATGCAAGGTTTAAATGTTTGTTTAAATGATTGCAAGGTTTAAATGCAAGGTTTGAATGCAAAGGTTTAAATGTTTGTTTAAATGATTTTAAATGTTATTAGTTGTTATAGTTCATGCATGGAAAGAGTAGACATGAGTTAGCCTGAGCTGAAAGCATCTATGACAAATGTAAGGTATGGAAGGAGATGCGGGAGTTGATACATGGATCAAAGTAATAAAATTTGTAAAGTAAAATAATAAAATTATGTATGATAAAGGCAGTATAAAAATTTTATAAATATATAAAAAACAAAACTGCTGAAAGAGATCAAATCTAAGTATTAATTTTCATGTCTCCTTCAGCAGTGCCCATGTACTATAAAAATGGAGGACACAAGTTATGATAAAGGGCATCATACATACATTATGCATGAAGGTGTAATCCCTTTATGCCGTTGCAGGTTTTTGGGCTATACATATTTTTTTTTTTTTTTTGCTTGTGGTGTGTGGAGGATTGGCAGCACTGCAGTGAGAGGGAAAGGGTATTTAAGGAAGTGAGGATTGGCAATGGCATCTTTTTTCTGGCTGGTGAGAGGTTACACGGATCAAAAAGATAAGAAAGATCTACATTTTTGTGTTAAGGTGTCCTTAAGAACTGCGTGGTTGGTTAAAGCTATATATCAATTTGTATTATCAGACTGAAAGTGAAATCTATTTGCATTGACAAAAATACTCACTGGATGCTAGAACTTTGTGTTAAAATTAGTGAATTTTCAGTAGTGAACATTGCCTGAGAAGTATTTTGGAAGAGATTAGTCTTATCTGATAGCTCAGATGCCTCTCTCTTTCATTTAACTCTGATCTCTTAAAGATATTTCTCTTGGATACCTCTTATAAGTTATAAGCATTGTTGCTGGATAGTCAGTTCATCTTTCATTTCAATTGGATTCTTGAACTGTCATCAAAACTTTACAGAGCCATCCAGGGATCAGTTCTTTTTCCAGAGAAGATTTTCTTACCTGTAGGACTTGTATCATACCCAACTCATACAGACAAATTCATCTGGTACATAGGTGTCTCTATATGTGGCCTAGAGAACAACTTGTAAATTCTTTTGTATATATTACCTGTACATAAATTTAATTATAAGTGATTTTAATTCATCTGTCTTCTTTATCTCATGGTAACCAAACCTACACACCCATGCAATAGTCCCACTGCAGGTTATTGTGATTTCCACACCTTGACATAACCAACATATATCAAAATCATCTTAATCAAATAAAGCAGTACCTCGGTACTCAATTAAACAGTCACAACCCACTAGAACAAATTATCAGTTAATAACAAGTATAATTATTTGTGGCATAGTAAACACTAGTATTGTGTTTTATTCCAAAGACACATGGCAAATTTTTCATCAAATTCCTTTATTAGTTGAGTCGACTCAACTAATAAAGGAATTTGATGGATATAAAATATAAAAAGGACACTGTTTCAAAAAACAAATCAAGTATAATTATTTTAATTTTGTCACCAGTAAAAAGATTTCTGTGATAAAAACAAGTAACTAATTTAAAAATAAAATGAAACGTTTAAAGCTCTCTGGGATTAAGAAAAGGGCAACCTGACGACAAAGGGGATACATGCTCCAAGTACCCAAAGGAGACCGTGGGACCCATACATTGGGTGCTCCTGGTCTCCTTCCATATCTTTGATTTGATGTAGACCCTTTTAGCTCAGGCTGACTCGTTTCTACGCTTTTGCTGCATGGACTGTAGTATTTCTTTTTATGAGTATTGTTTTGATTTTAATGAAAACTCATTGTGATTTTAATATATTGTAAACAAAAATATTAATATTTAAATGAAAATTCATAATGTGCATATATTGATCATGACAGCTTCCTAATATATCAGGTTAAAGTGAAAAGATGAAATTTAGGCATTTTGAAAAAAAAAAAACTTTATTGATAGTTCACTTGACATTGATTTCAGTTCACGATCAATATCAAAGAATCAAGGAATGTTATGGATAATCTATAATTGTTAACAGCTTTTACAGATTATCCAAATAATCAATAGGTAATTTAAAGCATAAAATGTGTTTTCAGGGTTTTTCTTAATAAATATATTTATCAATTATCAATATTTAATAAAATATAAAAATTTGAAATTATTTCAAATTATAATTTATAAACTTTTCTGCTGTAAACATAATACTACAAATAATTTTTTTCTTTATAGGAAATATAACTTTTACTTTAACTTATCCTGAAGGAAAATATTTTCCAACAGATGGCATAGCTAGAATTAATTACGGTGCAGATAATACTTTTAAAAACATTAATATTCCAACTACAGGAACAGGGGCATGGGAAACAAGTTTTGAATATACGTATCGATATTTAAATGAATATAATGTAACAATGATAATTGAAAATGAAATCAGTGACATATATCTTACATTAAATGTTAGTAAATTAATTATTTTAAATATTTTAACATGTAATTTATTAATATTAGATATTATGTTTTAGGTCACACTTAATCAATGCTTTGTAAATTTCACTGTTAAACCAAAGTTTGTACCAAATGAGAAATCTGATCTTCAAGATGCTGTAGAATTAATTGGCCCCTATAGCTATGATGCTCCCATTGATAGACCATTCTATTTTGAAATGCAGCCTGAAAATGGTGAGTATTTAAATTATCATTAACAAACTCCATAGATCAATAAACTGTACATTTATGCTTATTGGAATCTAAAAAATATATTTATACTCACATGATTAAGCACATTGATTTTTTGGATTGATATATTCAATTTCAGAATCCAATTTGTTATATTCTATTCAAACATTTCTACATTTTCAGAATACTTCAAAATCCAGCTAATGATGTGCATGCTCTCTTCTAATACCAAATAATTATGCTATATTTTCTTTTACTTTATGCCAATCATTCTCCTGTTATTTTCCTTTTTTTATGCCTTTACCATCTGGTTTTACTTGAAAAATCATAATGTCAATTCAAGTTGAGATGAATTTGTGGATGATGGAAAAGGTCAAAGTATATGAAAAAAGTTTTAAAAAATGAAATGATTAATGTGAGAGAGGAGGGATGATTAATAATATATTAGCAATGTGGAAGAGGGTAGTAAATTTAGGAATAAAAAAGATAGAAGAATGTTGACATGAAGTAAAAAAAAAAAAAGTATAGTTTAATTTGGCATTGAAAGACAACATGCACATCTTTAGCTTGATTGAAGTATTTCAGAAATACAGGAAGATGTTTAAATAGAATTTAACAAATTGGATTTTGAAGATGGACAGATAAGCCCAAAAGTACTTAATTATGTAAATACAAATATCATATTTTTTATATTCCAATAAGCAGAAATGTGTACTATTTAAAATTATGTTCATTTTTGGTAAACAAGAAAATGTAGAATATAGTTTGTGCTGTAATATACTCATTGACAGAAAAGTTACTTGAGAAAGAGGTGTTGTAATCAAATCAAACTTTATTAGTGCAAGCATAACAATAATGGCAATAAGTGCCTTTTGCCTAGATACATATGGCAATACACTCAGGCATAGAGACATATAGACACCACTCTTATGCTATCCTTTGACACATTTACCCATAGATTTTGCAACTGTCATTCCTCACACTCATAGAAGACCAAAACTAGCATCCAATCTAGTTCCACAAATGCTCAATGAGTTAAAAGTTTGGAGACTGGGCAAGCCAAGGAAGTGTAACAGAAAAATTTGAAAAACACACCTTTACATACAGTTCTGGTCTCATTTTTCTTACTGATAAATGTTTTTAACTCCTTTGATAAGCCTGCTTTGGATTCTCAAGGATTCTAAATGCTAATGTTTTGTATTGGAATATCCACTCAAACATTGATGTGTCTTCTAAGACTTTTTTAAAATATAAAACATTGATATTTAGAATCTTTCACAGGTCTGAAGTGGCTTATCAAAGGAAATGAAAACGTTTATCAGGAAAGAAACAAGACTGGAATTGTACTCAAAGATGAGTTTTATCAAATATTTAAATGGTATTCTGGGTTGGATTCTATTAAACTTATGACAGAGCCATTTCTGGGAAACCATAGTTGTGTGTAATTGAGCATTATCTTGCTGGAAAATAGCTATTTGCATTCCTACCATAAAAGGCAACATAAGACAATACTTGAGTTTTCTGAAGTCAATGATATTGTGAAATCTATGATTTTTATGCAGATGTCGAAAAAACCCTTTGTAAACAACTCCGATGAGAAAAATACTCTTGGTGAGAATTATATCGGAGGTCACCGTTTGTTTTCACAATTAGGTGGGAAAGTTCACACTTGGTTGATCAGAATGCACCATTAGTGTCAACAGAAGTTGATCACATGACTCCTTTCCCACAAAGAACGTATAAAAGCACGAGCCCCCAGAAGCTCCGGGTGACCAAAGGAAGTTATACTTATTACTGTGTGCATCTTGTCTCCATACACCGGACATTGCAACTGAAGGGACATCGCCATATGACAGCCATTCAAACTTCCATGATTATTGCCATTCTACAGTTCCTGCGCTGACTACGATTCATATGGCCCATTCAACGAACGCATATTAGTCATATCCTTATAGAGGTATTTGTATTTAGAGCATTGTGAACTCTCTCTCTCAGGATAGCCATTAGAGCTGTTAGAGCAGTCTGTTTTTATAGTTAACTCATATTTAACCTCATTTAGCCTTTATGTATTGTTATAGCCTCTTGTATCTTAGCTCAATTATTCAAATAAATGCTTGTTTATTTTGTTAAACCTGTCTCCTGTCTCTAAAAGACACTTGCTAGCTTCCTCTCCTCCCTCCCCACTTGATTTGCTCTCCTAAGCCATCCTATGTCCGCGAGATTGGGTTTTACCAACTTGTTGCCGCATAAGTGGTCATTACGGATTTGCCCAGTGGCCCTTGGCATATCTCATAATATTGGGATACTAATGACAGGATGCATAGCAGTCACCATGCATGAAAATTTGCCTATGTTAGTCACCTGCCAATGTACAGAAAGAAATGGTTTTGTAGCAAAGCTTCCACCTGCCTCTGGATGATGGACAAAAATGCCTTTGAAGTTGTTTATGCTTGTCTGACAATCAGAAAAACATTTCTCTTGATAGTTAGTCCAGAGCCTGCATCTCATATAATGTATGCCCTCATAAATCCACCAGCTCCAACACCTCATAGTCAGGCCAAACAGCCGATAGTAGGCAATCTGTTGAAATGGCCATCCTGCTTCCCTCAGCTTGATGATGTAGTTTTTCTCAAACTCTGTCAGCTGTACATAATGTTTGACTGGATTGTACAGCCATTCCTGGCATTCAAATAACTCTAAAAAGCAGATACACTGAAAATTCTGAACACATGAGCCTCTGTGAGTATTTTTATACAATAAGCAATTTTAAGGCATTCTGGTAGTATTACCCAGCATACAATCAAATCACAACAGTATTTAGTTACATACCTGTTTGAGACATAACTGTATGCCATGTTTTGTAGTATTTGAACAATTCTGTCTGGATGCATAATTTTTTGTCAATGAGTGTATTTATCATAAGTAAACAAAAAAGACCACTACAGATCAATAATTTTAAATATTTAGCAAATATCAGTACATAAGTTTTGATATGATTTAAAGTTCTTCTGCCCTAAATTATTGCAGTTGAAATTGGTGTCAAATATGCCCTGTTTGTTACCTATATTTTTTTTTATAAGGCAATGTATTGTAACAATGTGAAGTATTTGTGTATATGTGTATTTACTTTTTTTGTTCTCATACTTTTTTGTCTTTCTGCTCTTCAATATTTCTTTCTTTCTCTTTTGTTTGACTATCAAGCACTTACTGTAAACAGGGTGAGAGGACTATTTTTTAAATTAACAAATGGAAAAAAAAAGAAAAGAAAGAGAGGAAGTAGAACATAATAAACAAAAAAATCTAGCAACAAGTTGCATAACTTTTCCAACTATATGAGATTTTATTTAAAAAATAATTTTTATATTATTAATTATAATGAATAAGTTGAGCGTGGCATAATCTGTTAGGCGATTTTTTACAAAAATTATATATATTATTAATTGTTATAAAATGTTAAAAAGCTTAATTTTGAGCATAGAGATGAGTTTTATAAAAAAAATTGTAAATGATGATAATGAGTAAAATCTTCACTAACTCCAATTCCACTTGAGATATGACATATTTACCTTTTCCAATCCCTTTGATATTTACCTTTACCAATCCCTTGGAGCTTTAACCACCTAAATTTAATTAGCATTAATGCCCTTTATACACAAGCTACCATGAAAAATTTTGTTTCTTCATCACTACCCTATCCTGTTTCTTTTATTTTTTAACTTTTTTGAGTTCAGAGGGTCTCAAAACATGAAGATTTGCAAAAAACTTGGATGGTCAAATTTGATACTATTCCAGTACTTTCCCTTGTTATATATACATAACAGCTGGGAAAGTAAAGATGAGAATGTCTGATCAGGTGTTGTGTGGGAGGACTAAAATCTAGAGAGGGTGAGAGGTGCATTTTGGGTTGGATAACAAATCATTGACAAAGGTGGCCATCTCTGAATAGTACAAAAGATGAAAATAGTTTATTTTTTCTTAAGTTTCCTGACTATTATATATGAGGAAAAGCACAGTGATTGAAGCTTTGAAGCTTAATAACTCCTGTGCTTTTTTGACGATTAAATGTCAAGGAGGTGTGGAGATAAAGGGGTCATATGTCATATCTTGAATGGGGTTGGACTTAATGAAGATTTCACTCATTATAAACATTTATAATTTTTTATAAAACTCATCTCTCCCCTCAAAATTAAACTTTTTGCCATTTTATACTAATTAACGATATGAAAAAATTTTTAAATAAAATATCTTAACAGATGGTACCATCATAATTTTAAACTTTTTGCTTGGAAAGTTAAGCAACTCGTTGCTGGATTTTTTTTCTATTTTGTATTAAAGGACAATATTGTCAATAGTACTCAATCCAAGAAATTGATAAAAGAAATTAAGCAAGGAAATTAAGCAATTTTGTCTTTACCTGATTTAGTGCTGGTGATCCTTTGGGTTTGTAAAGAGTCAGATTTCTATCAATTCCTCTTATTTCTTCCATATGCTCCTAGTTTTAGATAAAAGCACAGATACTCATACATATTCATTTATATATATATAAATTTTTTTGAAGTATTATTATGTTAAAGTATATTATTAACCCATGATTGCTTGTGGTAGTGGCAGTTTTCTGCACTTACTAGTTTTTTGTGATAGCTTTTCACCAAATTGACTTATTTAGATGTGCTTCCATGATATCCTTATGCTACCTGCTATTCATATGACTGTATAAAAATTTGGTTAAAAATTTTTTTTTACTTATCACAGGTCCTCAAAAAACTGCTATGAAAATTTGCCATTTTATGCTTGTTCTCATGTAATTTCTTTTCCATATGATTGCATATGTATGATGGTAATTTTCAAGCCTCCATGACTGATGTCATTTTTAATGACATCCATCTTGGAGATCATGATGTTATGGATTTTTTTCATAGACTTTTTCAAGGCACATCATGACATTGCAGTTTGCAAGTCACTATGATCTTCAACACTTGTTTGTATACAGTACTATGACTTTCAATAATTTAAATTTTTTGCAGCTTCAGTTTGTACCTGAAAAATACAGAAAAATCATTTTCTGATCCTTCTGAGAAATGCCTCAACCCTTCCATCAATCATTTCCAGATGAACTCATTTCAATATCTCTATATTCCAAATTAAACATCTATAACGAAATACAGGTATACCTTGCCTTACGTTGGTAATTGGTTCCAGGAGAGACAACTTAAGTCGAAAAACGACGTAAGTCGAATTTACTTGTCACTAGGCTAAACCACAAATAATCATTCCTGGTTCTGTATTTTATTTATAAATGCATTTTTAATAATACATGGTTAATAAGAATCTATTTTAAGCTTACAAACAAATAAATTTTAGTTTTTAATATAGTACAGAAAAAAGTAATCTAAATTTACGAATTCATGTACTATACGTACAAGTACATACTTGTAAATGTACATGTTTACAATTTGGCAATGTTTAAGGTACATCGCAGACTCGACTCTTTTTTTGTGAATGTGGTTTGCTCTAAGACATTATAAAATAAGATGATTTTGTAAAGTTAAATAACAAATACAGTTATTAAAATTATCTTGAGACAGTAGAAAATAAACTAATTTATATTAAATTTACCAATATCAAGTGGCACTGACAATGATGCAAATGGTAGATATTGGAACTACTGTGGAAAATGCCAATATTGAGCACTTAAAGACCACTAAGTAAGACAACAACACAGTCTTTATCATGACGTCACACTACGGAACCTGTTACCGGTGCTCCGTACGAATGTGCTAAAATATCTTGACGAACGCCCAATTGTGGACAAGGTTGTGCCCAACAGTTACGCCCGATTGTGGACAAGGTGAGAGCGCCCACGAGAAAGTTAGAAAAAGCCATACACAACCTTCTGACTCCCCACCTGGAAGACTACCCCTACAACGTGAGTAAACCGACCGACCTCATCCGCCTCCTGCAGGACCTACCCTCCCCACCAAAGTTCATGACAGTCCTGGACTTCAAGTCTATGTACCCCTCAATAGAACTACCCCCAGCCTTCTGCTCCCTCAGAGATTTCTTGTTTAATACTGTTCAAGACCGAGCACTACACCAACAGGTACTCGAGGTGGCCCATCTGGCATGTTACGACTCCGTGTTTAAATTCGGCGACACTATCTACCGGCAAAAAAAGGGCGTACCGATGGGTAGCCCGCTCTCGGGCGACCTCTGCGAAATGGTCGTCAGGCAGCTGGAGACCAAGGCCCTCTCGCCTTTCCTTCCTAGCATCCTCGTGTATAAACGATATGTTGATGACATCCTCATCTTATGGAAGGAGATACCCGACATAGCATCCTTCGTCAGAACCGTTAACGACAACCCCTTCGGCCTGACGGTCGAGCTGGAACAAGCTAGCGCAGAGGAAGTACATTTCCTCGACATCGGAATAAAGATAGTAGGACCCACCATCCAAACAGCCGTATACCACAAGCCCTCGTCCACCCCCACGTACATACCAGCTGATTCCTGTGACCCGTTCGCATACAAGGCAGCCGCATTTAGAGCTCTTGTGGAGAGGGCGTTCTCACACTCATCCACCAAGCAAGCCCTGACGAATGAATTAGACCGCATCAAAAAAATAGCAACTGTACACGGCTTCCCGAACATAACGCACCGCTTAATTGAACAGTACCAGCACCGGAAACGCACCCTAACCGCAGCGACCGCCGCCGACCCGCAACGAGATAACCCGACACGGATCCCCATCACATACAACCCGCACCTCAAGACTATACATAGAAGAATAGCCAAAGAGCACGGGATTCGACTGGCATACAGAAGATGCCCCACGATTTTCCGCATCCTAAGAAACGATAAAGACCCTCCCGATCGCACCAGACTCCCCGGTATCTACTCTATCCCGCTCCATGACAATAGACAAAACGCAGAGCTACTGTACATCGGCTCAACCAAACGCTCTTTAAGCACCCGCCTACGTGAACACCAAGCGGATATCCGGCACGGCAGGCTGACCACAGCCCTAGCCACTTATGCATCCGACCCCGAAGTCGAGGTGCACTTCGAGAAGGCTACCATTATTGTCAACACGCCCCACCAACAGCAGCTTAGATGGCTGGAAGCCGCGGCTATCCACAACGCTGACCGGCTAACTGCCTGCATCAACCGGAAAGAGGAACTAACCTTGTCTCTGGCCTGGCAATCGCTATTGGATGCCAACCCGCCGTTTCCTCCCCCTGCCGCACGACCGCACACACCGGAAGAGACCCACCCCCTCGAAACCGACACCCGATCCTGGAGAATAATATACACTCCGTCCGGGGAATTCCTTCAGTTGACCTGAAGAAGAGCGGTTGGAACGCTTGAAAACGTTCATCAAGATATTTTAGCACATTCGTATGGAGCACCGGTAACAGGTTCCGTAGTGTGACATCATTTTCATCCCAGTGCTGTGGATAGAATAGTTTCTGCATTACAGTCTTTATCTCCATATTAACTGTAAGGAAGAGAGAAGAAGATAACACAGTCACAGGTGTTTTCGTGTTTCATTCTCTAGGATTTATGATGATTATATTAACATTTACTGTAAATGTACATATTTTAATATGATTTTGTGCGCTTTAACGCTTTTCTAGTGATATAACGACTTCAATATTTGTGGCGGACAGACATAAAGTCGAATAAAATGACTTTATTCAACTTTATGTCTTAAATGATTTTATTATTAAAGGATTTTTATTTTTCCATATATTTTTTGAACAACAAATGACGTATAATCAAGAACGACCTGTACGACCTCGAGAACGATCGAGGTATACCTATACTGTACAAGTTGGAGATATTTATTTTCAGATCTTCTGATGTCAATAGAACATGAATATTGCTCCAAACTTGAACTTATTTTACATTATTGGACATTGGTTTGTAAACAAAACAATATCTCATAAACAATGTTGAAATTAAGCATGTGAAGAAGACACATCACAAGATTACCATCAAATTTGAGGAATTACATATGAAAAATTAGCAGAAAATCACTGCCTTATGCATACAACAATACTTAAAAAAAAATGCATGTAATCATGGGTTAATAAATGGCATATAAGTATAAGTATTAAAATAAATTAAAGTTAATTTAACACTTAAATTTGCTTAAATTAAAATTTGCAGAATATTATGATTACTTCCTTGTGGATTATTCAAATGGAACATTAGTAAAAAACAGCAGTGAAAAATTAATAAATTTTAAATTTAATGAAGTAAGTTTAATAAACTAATTTTTATATATAATGTATAAAATTATATTATTTTAAAACATTTACCACATATGCTGACATATTAGTCAACCTCAAGCAGTGTTGTGGAGTCAGAGTTAGTAAAATTCTTTCAACTCCAGTGACTCTGACCCTGAATTTACTGTTGGTAAAATGTAAAATATGGAAAATACTTTTTAATTAGTATCTAAAGAAATTTGTTAGAAAATGGACACTTCAGTAAATTTAGATATCAAAATATATTCACCTGTAAAAGCCATTTCACACCAAAATTTTATGCTGATCACATGCAATGTGCTCTATACTTTCAGAAAATAGCTTTTATAATTTAAATGAATATTTTCACATTGCCTAGAAAGTTGTATTTGCTATAAAACGCACACCAGACTAAGTATGTTTTTGCTATTACCCAATAAAAATTACAAAACATGGTGCAATACTCAACTGACTTTGCATTTGTAAAAACATTCAACTTATATAATATAAAGTTTAACCCCTTAACTGATACTCAAGGCACATGTCCTGCTTGTTCCCTAATGTAATTATAGCATTAAATTTTCCAGTAATTATAGGATGTGGGAAAAATACTAAAATCTATTAAAAATTTAAAAAATTAACCAGATATAAGTTCTGAGAAAGAAAATTGTTTTATATAAATTACAAATTATTAAATAATTTTAGAATAACTCATACAATAAAAGTAATTTTGATATAATCTTGTTAATAAATAAAAATTTTAATTAAGGTTTTATTCTCTTTTTAAATACTCTTAGATTAAATTAAGATTTAAAATATAACTATAAACAATAAGTTTAAATGTTTATTTTTTCAGGTTGGTATCTATGATTTTTCTTTTTATTTGATTTATGGAAATGGAAAAAATGGCCCTGTTAATAAAACTGTGAGAATATTGGATTATGTGAAAGGTTTACATGCAAATGACACTAATAATGGCTTTTGCGATGTTGAACGTGGAGCAAATGTTACCATTTACATTGAACAGTATGATGAATATTCTTGTCTGTTGATTGATGCTCAAGATGGATCTGTTCCTGTTGCATTTGGTGATGAAGATGTTTGCATTTATTCATATAATGATGCATTTAATCATGAAGGCAAAATACCATCATCTAATATGATGTAAATTCAGTTTTAAATTTAATATTTTCCAATATTATAATTATAATTTTTGAGTTTTTATGTACATTAATTCAAAAATATAGCAATTGTGATAAAATAAATGACAATGAAAAACCAACATATTTCAAATCCTCAAGAAATACAATACAGTCTCAAAAAGAAATAAAAATATTTTTAATAAATAAAAAAGTTTATATTTAACATTATAAAAATGTTTTTAAAAGATTTAAGCTTCATCTTTAAATTAAAAGTGAATCTTAAGTTGATTAGAAGTGTGTTTACAGTTGACCCCCCTATAACTGTTGATAATTCCGTTTTATATGAATTCCATGTTGTACGAGTCACTTAGATTTTACAAATACGTGTGCCGGGCTGTGAACGGTTTACGTATTTGTAAAATCTAAGTGACTCGTACAACATGGAATTCATATAAAACGGAATTATCAGCAGTGTTATAGGGGAGTCAACTTTACTTGTTTTTGATATTTTTATTTCTTGAGTTATATTAAAATTTAAGTGTGAGCATTTGTATATACAATGGAGTCCTGATTAACTAAGATCTGTTTAACTGTAGTTCCTCATTATCTGAAGTGAATTGTGGAAATGTAACTTGTCAATGAGTACCTTATTAACAGTTTATTTCAAAAATCTTGACTAGGTAATGCCAAGATTATTTTAAAGAAGCACTAGAAATTTACTTTACTTCTTATAGCAATATGAATTTTAAAAAAGATTAAAGAAATTTTAATTGTAATTTTATAACAATAATCCTGTATTTTTTTAACCACTTTCTACCAAACATTCTGTATTATCCAAGTTTTTGAATATCCAAGTCCTGCAATCTACATTATCTTAATCATGACTCTGCTGTATAAGGAAACATTTGTTATATATATATTTATACTTTTAATTTTTTTTAATGAAGAAGACATTTAAGAAAGCAGAAAATGTTTCTCAATATTAATTTGCTTTTCTAAAATTTAAATTCAAACATAATGAATTGTATTACATTTCTTTCAATAACTTAGGCTGTATAATACTGTATTTGCTAAATGTCACAAAAATGACAAAAATTAATTTTTATAATAACAATATATTATTTTTTTGGCTGACAACATTGTACAGTTTTTTGCCAACAAAAAGTTCTTTGTTTTCCAAATTTCTTGTACATGCTAGAATAATCTTATGTGTATATACAGTACTTGTGTATAGAGTGGTAGATTAAGACCTTCTGAGTCTCTAGGCACAGAAGATTGGGGACTCCTTTATATATTTTTACAACATTGTAAACTAATAAAACTTAATTGTAGCTATAGAATTATTTACAAACTATGATATTTAATTGCTTTAAACATCATAGTTTGTAAATAATTGCTTTATTTTCTCCAATTTTGGGTCTCCCAAAATCCAGAGCCCATAGGCATGTGCTTCACGTGCCCAATGGAAAATCCAGCAATATATTTGTGTCTTTAGTAAGCAGTAGTATGAAGTATGAATAAAGAGTGAATTATTTAACAAAATTAAATTTGAATGAAAAATGAATCATTTAATACAACAATAATTAAATAAAATATCAGATTATTTACTTTTAATTAATTGCTTCCATCACACATAATAAAGAGCGTTCTGCTCGAAAATACCCAATTTGATTTGGCTATAAAAATTAATGGTTAAAGATATAAGTTCAACAAAACTATTATGTGAGAGAAAAACTCACCAAATTTCATTGAAAAAAATCATCACATCTCTGTCTGCTCCAGCAGTCACAGTGACAACATCAAAGCAGTAGGCAATTTCTAGCTGTGTATACTGCAATGTCTTGCTTCACAATGGTGATGACTGCAATGATGCACCAAAGATCCTGATGATCTCTGACCAAAGCTGCATAAACTATATCTTTTACATAACCCCACAGAAAGAAATCTAGATCATTTCTTGGTGGCCATGCTATCAGGCATACCAGACCATGTCCTGTGCTTTCTCCTGTGGCAAAGCCATGACTGGACAATAATGCTCACAATTTTACTTCTGTGCCATTTTGCAGTATCAAAAATCTCTAAAAAATTTGATGAGTTTTTACACTAGATGCTACTTGTTGCTGTGATATATTTTAAACCATTTCTTATGGCAAATTAAAATTGGGTACTTTCAAGCAAAACACCCTGTATATTAACATCAAAAGTAAAAAAATGTTTAAAGATTTTTAAAATCTATTTTTCTATTCCATTATTTACTTACATTCGCCATTGAAAATCAAAAAATAATCTCTAATATATTGAAATACAAATAAGAAATAAGTTTTTAATATTTAATATGTATACTGTAAATATTTTGTTTGTAAATTTAGGTATTATCACCAATTTGAAGAAGAAGGAGATTTTGATATAAAGGTAGAAATATTTAATAGTATTTCAAAAGAAATAAAAGAAGTGGGAATAGGCTGTGAAATGGCAAAAGAATTGGAGAGTATAGTAAAAATTGTATCTGCAAAAAGAACTTGCAAAAAACCAGCAATGGTAATTAAGTTATAAATAAATCCATTAATAATAATGATAATATTTAATAATTAAGTTATCTTACAAATAATATCCTCTTAAGTATTAGATAGTAAGTGTTAATCAAATTTATAAAAACTTCAATTTTAATTAAATATTTTATAATTGAATTAATTGTTTTTGCACACAATTATTGTAATAAAGAAGCATAAATTTAACTTACTGAGAAAGATGAATCTTTGATTACGTTAATGAAGATAACTAGTAGGTTATCTGTGTTTAAAAATCAATTTGAAAGTGGCCACAGCTTATACAATGAAGTATGTATCTATGTTAATAATAATAATAATGATATTTTTAATTTTTTTCAACATTTTTCTAACAGTGGCAATTCCCCAACTTAATAATTTTTTCTTGAAGCACCCCTACTTCTTTATCAATATAGAGTTACTGTAGTTTCAGTACTTTTAGTAATAAAAGTAAGAAGTATTATGGCATTGCTTAGCACTATATTTCTCAGTATTTCACATCAACAGTCTGGTCATGTGATGATTTCCAGGTTTTCTTCACAAATCTAACATTTAAATAGTGACAAGTTTCCTATAGAAAGTCTGTTAAATAAAATAAGAAATGAATAGAGTGCTGTGTAAAATATAATCAAGTATGAAAGATTTATTTTTTTATTATAGAACTAAATATAATTTATAAGTTCAGATTTCCTTTCTGGACAGAAATAATAAACAGAATAAAAAAAGAGACAAAAGATCATTAAAGAAAAAAATCAGAAGCAAGTGTGAAAGTTGAAGACACTACACATGAAAAGGCGTGCCAGAGACAATATTTTCTGTGCATCTCAAATAACTAAAGTGGATAACAATGAAAAATATACTTATAAAACTAAACTAAAGCTCAACTATGGCATGTAAGATTGGGTCATTCTAGAGTTAATAGCACAGGAAAAATTATTGTGATTACATCACAGTAACTTGTGTAATCACAAGGCAATTTAAAACAGATGTGTGTTATGCTGTGGGATGAGTTATTTTCAATGATCATAATTAAAGAATAGGTTTTCAGAACTCTCTGTGGACAGAACTATTGGATAAATCTCAACTAAATTTGGTATACAATGCTGTCCTGAATATATAGTTTCAATTTTTATGAAAAAATCTTACTTCAAAATTTAGCTGCCAAGAAAAAATTTGGTACTACTATTCTCTTAGTGTTTGTATTACATATGTCTACTAATTAATTTTTGAGTATAAAAGGAGTTGCGAAATGTTCTTTACAATACTTTGATAGGTGAACTGTCATAGTGTTTACTTTTCTGATTGTGCATTATTTGTTAAATAAATTCTTCTGTCAACAAAACAGAAATGGCAGCTCAGCACCTAAGGTTTACAAAAAGATTCTGTGAAGGCCTATTCTTTATGATCATCCTGTGAATTATAAAATTGAAGTTTCCTGGATTATGAAATGAAATTAACAAGTATATTTTTCCAATTTTAAAACATTTTAATATAATTCTAATGTTAAGTTATATNTGTTTTGTTATTCTAATACATCATTTATGCTTTTGTAATTTATTAAAATTTATTAAAAAGATAATTAAAATTTTATTAGTAATTATTTTTCCTTTTTTTAAATAAATGTTTGTTTTTTTTAATAGTGGTTAAGGAGTCAAGCAATAAATTTACATAGTGTTACTATATTCAATTTAACTGAAAGATATAGATATTTTCGTGAATGGAAGATATTTGAAGCTGATGCAAATGGACATACCTTAAGAGAATTAGATACTAGTTTATTACGAAAAAGAGAAAGTGAATGTCTTTATATTCCTCCAAGATATTTTGAAATCGGACTTTATAAAGTTACAGTATTTATAACTATTAAAAGTAAGTTATTGTCTTAAATGTAGTTTTAAACTATAAATTAGTATGTAGAAATAATTTATGTAGATCAATGTTTTACTTAATGATCAATTGTTATTACCAAATGATCTGCCAGATTTTTATCAGGCATCATTATCGTTAATTAATAATTCAAAACAAAGCAATTTAGCTAGAAGTAGACAGTTAAGCCACAGTAGAGCAATAGACGATAGAGGTAATCAGCTTAACCATATACTTCTATTATTAAATTGCTTTGTTTCAGATGAAAACCATGTGTCCTGGAGCAAGACTTAAATCTGCAACTCCTGCTTATTGTGTAGTTGTGTTTCCAGTTGCACTACCTGTCTAATCTCTACATCTAGAACTATTATTCTAACACATCTGCACAGTAAGTAGGAATTGTGGCGCCAGACCAATTCTTTTATTCCAGAATATACTAAATTAAAATTTATATATAATTATTAAAATTATCGTAAGATGACAGCTTAACCATCTTCCTCTAGCCAAATTGCTTTGTTTTGGATTATTAATTAACCTTAATACAGCTCAATAAAAATCAGGCATATTATTTGGTATTACTATTGTATCAGATTATGTATGTTGTTATAGTGTTAGAGTTAAATATAAGCTGGATAAACCATGACTTAAAAGAAGATTAGCATAAACTTTTGCCGGTCCAGGTTTCAAAATTGTGCAGGGCAAAAAAATTGCATTTATACATTCTTCTGAATTTTATAATAATAAATTAATTATTATAAGTACAAAGTGCAAGTACAGTACATACCTACAGGAGCATTGAGAGAGAGGAGATGGGAATTTTTCCCCAGGCATGAAGAAGACTTAGGTGCTTTTAGTGATTCCTATACCTATAAATTAATGTTATTTTTACTAACAAAATCTTTTTAAACTGTTTTTTATTAATAAAAAAACATTCTATGTATTTCATTTGTTCAAAATTAAGAAATGCCAAAAGGGATCCATAAAAGGCAAATGGAGCACACTGTATCATGCAAGCTCTCAACAGCACTGCATACCTACATACAGCTTATTTTACAACTTAGATTAGGATAGGCAAACTACATATTTTTAGTTTTTGTAGTTAATTTTTTTTAGTTTAGCATTTTAACTATTTAACTACATATTCTGTAAATTAAATTTACTGTTTACATATGATACTAACTACAGACACCACAAAATTTATGATAAGCTTTTCATGGATTGTGGTACCTTTTAAAACACCAAATGTTTAGAGAACAAGTTCAACTCATGTAGTGCAGGTCCTATTTAAGTGATTTGTATTTAATGTGTTTAATCATCATAAATTTTCTTTTGATCAACAGTAATGTTTAAGGAGACCTCTTGAGTGTTATAGTCCAAGGGCCATATTATATGTATAAATTTGATATACATTGAGATCAGTATATTTAAAACAAGTACAAAGAGTTCATTAAAATATACAGATTATTTACAAAATTTTAAAAGCAAATATAGTGGGTGATAGGTTAACAAACATAATCCGTTCCAAGACTTTGTTCGCTATCCGAATTGTTCGTTAACCGATTATCAATTTACCATAGGTTTGTATGGGAATTTCATTAATTCGTTCTGGAGACCCCAAAAAATAAAAAATATATACTTTCTTACTACGTCCATTTATATGTAATAATAAAAATACATATATATGCAGTCTTGCATTTTTATTAGTTATTTTTTTTGTTTGTGGGGGTTAAAGAATCTGTCTAATGTCAATTGCTTTCCTCTCTTCTTCAGGATTTTCAGAGCTAATTAATAGTGTTGTAATTGTAGAGATCCCCAAGCCTATTAACCTCAACCTGGTTTGTATGCCATTCTAAGACCATTGATCTGACATCCTCCACTTCTTCAAAAGATCTTTAATTAATAGAAGATATCGGCAGTAATCCTCTTTTTCATAATAAAACATATTTCACTGAGTTTCTTGGTGTTCTTCATTCAAGATTTCTTGGCATTCTTCTGTCATCAGATCCGTTTCAGATTCTGTTATGAGCTCTTCAATGTTCTTTATTTCTCAGATGTGATTTTTGTTACTTCTTTAGCTGCTTGAGTCTTCTTTATTATACTGTAACTTTCTTAGATAAGATTGAACTGCGCTCTACTGTAGATTTGTTCAAGCCATACTGCCCAGCAACATCAGACATCTTCTGTTCATTCTCTATCTTTGCTATTTTACCTTTCGAAAATAAAACTTGACGCAAAACTTAACGAGTGCCCATCCGATTATAAAAGAATTGTTTCTATTAGAAAAATAAAAGGCTGGAATTAGAAGGGAGAATTTCAAAGTTTGGAGGAATACTATCTGATCGGTATATTCTGAGTTGAGTGTCAATGTCGACATCTCTAGCGCTCTGAAAAGTTGCGAATTGTTGCCTAAAGACAAGGGAAAATCAATCGGTATTTGCTATTTTTGTTGCTTCTTTATATGTTTGTTCAGTGAAGTGTTCGTTATCCAAACATCTGTTCGTTGTCCGATTATAAAAATCTTTTGCAAAAGTGTTCCTTATCCGATCTGTTTGTTAACCGATCACCCACTGTAATTCTAGTTTGATACTGGAGAGTAGGTTAATACCAAATCAATAAGCAATTAATGTAAATCTGCTGATTGAAATAACAAATGTCTTATCATTGAACAATAAGAATTACATTAATTTAATTAAAATATTTATTTATAGATCTATATTCATTCACTCTTGCTGCTCAGCTTTTAGTTTCTCTTCCTCAATTTCTTTGTCCTCCTTCTATTCTACCAAGGAAGGTCAAATTTTAATCAAAGAATAAGGGTAATTAGATTACAAGTATAATAAATAAAGGGAAAACCCAAAATAAACCAATTTAATCTAAATAAGAATCATCAAAACTTATTACAATTTTATTATAATGCAATATACTAAAATAACCAAAAAAAAACTAAAATTATATGTTTATTATCTATTTTGAATAAATATCAAATGTCAAATGTTTATTAATGTACTAGGCCTGTTACAAGGAGGTTAATTATACAATTTTTAATTTTTAACGTGAATTAGGTTCTCAATGAACATTCACTTTTTATGATTATCTACTATAATGATTGACTAGACTTAACTATCAGTATACATATTATTATTTTTTATCTTATTATATAACTTATAAATGTCGTTAATATTCATTTTGTCCATTTTACTGTACATATCAATTATCATCTTTTGATTATATCCATATTGCTCAATAATATTTAGCTCTTGTTTATTTTTTCCGTTACATCCAAAAATTAAATGAAATTTTGATAATTTTTTACTACACTTAGTGCATCTAGATTGATCATAATCTATATATTTATTTTCAATATTTAAACCTTTCTGATTTAGTCGTAGTTGAACAAAAAATTTCTTTACATTGAATGGCAGGTTTAAAAGCATATAATTGTTGATAACTGGATAATTAAAAATAATTTTGTAATGTATGTTATTTTTTCTTTTCTGTATATCTTCATTATCCTGGATTATTGAGTGTTTCATTGCTTTATATAACAGTTGATTAATCCATTGTTAATGGATTATTATTAATCATTAATCATTATTAATAATATAATCAGACACCAGTTCTATAGAAAAACCATATATGTTGAAAATTCTCAATAATTGAGTGATCCAATTTTGTTTCGTGTTATTATTCTTGGATTTATTATACAATGAATGAATTAGTCTGGTTGACAAATCCTTTGCACTAATTATTTTCCTTAACCAATTAATATATCTTTTAATCAAACTTGTGTTCAGTTTTGAAATACATGTGCTGGGCTGTGAATGGCTCATGTATTTATAAAATCTAAGTGACTCATACAACATGGATTTCATATAAAACGGAATTATCAACAGTGTTATAGGGGGTTAACATATATATAATATTCATTAAAACTTACTTTATATCCAAAGTTTTAAGATAGTACAATTATTTTAAAACATAAATATTTCTCTAAACAATACAATTGAATTATTTAATATTTCATTTAACTACATTTAAATAATTTTTTTTTATTTAAAATATTTTAACTTTTGTAGAAACATAAAGGATTTTTATTGAAATTATGATAAATTATGACAATAATCTCACTTCCTTCCACTCAAAAAATAACTTACTTCCTTTTCTAATAAATTGTCTATTAAAGTTGTTGTTATTCTTCCTCCTTTACAATCCTCAATACATTCCTTCAATCTTATCTCTAAACTTCTTGCCATTGTTACATAATATTTTTCACTGCTTTGAGTTCTCCAATAAAGAAGTGTTTTATTAAATTTTTAATTTAGTTTTAATATTTGATTATTTAAGAATCAAATAAGGAAAATAGATCTAAAGATTTTGTATTATATTTTCTATAGAATTAGAGAATAATGGTGATTTTTTATACATGGGAAATGGTTCTGATCATACATGCTTGAAGATAAATTACACACCATTTGGAGTGAGAATTTTGGAAGATGGAACATCATATATCAAACGAGGAGTTGGACAATTGATTTATATGAATCCTCTTAACTTCTCTGTAGATCCTGATAATCCAGACAATATGGTATAGTTAAATAATATTTTAAATTAATAAAATAAAATACATACAGCTTATTTTACAACTTAGATTAGGATAGGCAAACTACATATTTTTAGTTTTTGTAGTTAATTTTTTTTAGTTTAGCATTTTAACTATTTAACTACATATTCTGTAAATTAAATTTACTGTTTACATATGATACTAACTACAGACACCACAAAATTTATGATAAGCTTTTCATGGATTGTGGTACCTTTTAAAACACCAAATGTTTAGAGAACAAGTTCAACTCATGTAGTGCAGGTCCTATTTAAGTGATTTGTATTTAATGTGTTTAATCATCATAAATTTTCTTTTGATCAACAGTAATGTTTAAGGAGACCTCTTGAGTGTTATAGTCCAAGGGCCATATTATATGTATAAATTTGATATACATTGAGATCAGTATATTTAAAACAAGTACAAAGAGTTCATTAAAATATACAGATTATTTACAAAATTTTAAAAGCAAATATAGTGGGTGATAGGTTAACAAACATAATCCGTTCCAAGACTTTGTTCGCTATCCGAATTGTTCGTTAACCGATTATCAATTTACCATAGGTTTGTATGGGAATTTCATTAATTCGTTCTGGAGACCCCAAAAAATAAAAAATATATACTTTCTTACTACGTCCATTTATATGTAATAATAAAAATACATATATATGCAGTCTTGCATTTTTATTAGTTATTTTTTTTGTTTGTGGGGGTTAAAGAATCTGTCTAATGTCAATTGCTTTCCTCTCTTCTTCAGGATTTTCAGAGCTAATTAATAGTGTTGTAATTGTAGAGATCCCCAAGCCTATTAACCTCAACCTGGTTTGTATGCCATTCTAAGACCATTGATCTGACATCCTCCACTTCTTCAAAAGATCTTTAATTAATAGAAGATATCGGCAGTAATCCTCTTTTTCATAATAAAACATATTTCACTGAGTTTCTTGGTGTTCTTCATTCAAGATTTCTTGGCATTCTTCTGTCATCAGATCCGTTTCAGATTCTGTTATGAGCTCTTCAATGTTCTTTATTTCTCAGATGTGATTTTTGTTACTTCTTTAGCTGCTTGAGTCTTCTTTATTATACTGTAACTTTCTTAGATAAGATTGAACTGCGCTCTACTGTAGATTTGTTCAAGCCATACTGCCCAGCAACATCAGACATCTTCTGCCCATTCTCTNGCTTAGCATATTGGGTTTCAATGGTGTTATATCAACAGTGAATATACATAAATGAACACAATAATTATAAATTAGAAATGCATTAGGCATTAGTGAGGCATTAGGCGACATCTCTTATTAAAATTAATTTTAATAAGAAATGGCGCCTAATGCCTCACTCTAGTGCCAAATTCATTTCTAATTTATAATTATTTATCCAAATTATAGCCCGATCATTTACGGCTGTTGTAGATGTATTAAAATAATTATTCGATTTTTTTTAAGTTTTCCATAATGAATTTAATTCTGTAAGCTTTGTTGCACATAATGCTGTAATAAATTATTTCAGTTAACATATTTATTTTTATTAGGTTCAATAATCTTGGATCAAGAATTATATTTTGATACAAAATGGCTCTGGGGTCCAAACATTACTTACAAAATTTCTGCAGTTCTGCAAAATGAAAACAAAACTGCAAGAGGACATTTACAGATAGAATTAATTGAGGAAATTTCACCTCCAATAACATTAAGGTAATAAATTTATTACAGCTTTTGAGTTAAATCTAATTTGAATATAATTTAAGCAGTAAGAAAATATAGAAAAAATTAATTTAATAAGACAAATTATAAAATTTTATAAAACAGATTTATTAAACTTGTATTAAAAAAGTTTAAATATGTCATAAATGAACACAACACTTCTAGCTATTTGTAAAATGTAAATCTTGAATGTTTTTAAACTAGTAATGGGTTATCTTCAAGCAGACTAAAGCAGAATAGGAATGCTATAGCTATAGCATTGTGTCTTACGCCTAACAAGTTCCCCTCAGAAATGATGAAATGACCAGCATGGTTGTTAAGCTTCCAGGGAAACAGAAGAAAGGATTGATGGAAATAGGGTTTTACAAGGAGGTGGCATGTATGAAGTGTGGATCATGAGCAAGGAAGCTGTTACCAAATAGATGAGCAAGAGGAAGTGAAAAATTATCATAGTGGATTGGAAAGTGAAGGTTCAAGGGAATACTTTAATAGTGGAATGAAGATCTCTGATGAATTTTCAAGTCTGTAAGGAAAGAGGGTGGTGAGGATTCAAATTCGAACTTTTTGTCTCTACAGTGTAAATCTCTAACAAAGAAGGACTCTTAAGATTATTGTTAGGATTCTAATTGTTACAGTTTGTAACAAATACAGCTGAAGAGGGACAGACAACATGTTTGAAATGCATATTGTCGTCATAATAAACCTGTGTCTACCGACCTCTGTGTGATTACTCTGTGATGAGCATGCGGACAAACAATACAATACAAGATAGTACACAATAAAATATTTTATTAACTGTTCACATGGTCCTATATACCCTAAATTCTTTAGGATCCCTATATATACCCCTATATACACTAGATTTTATAGGATCCTTAGGACTCCAATATATATAAGATTTGCTGTGATAGATCTTTTTATGAACAAAGGAGGGTGACACGTTTTTGCGACAATGGTTCTTTCCTGTTGAGATATTTTCCCGAAATATTATAACTAACTTAAACTAACTTATATTCTAAAGGAGAAAAAGAGAAGGAAAGGATGAGATGAGAGGTAAGAATAATAAGAAAAGAAAAGAATGCTGGTGGGGTACCTGGGTTTTTCCTTTGTTTGGTCTTCACTCTTCTCAAAATGGGGACTTGTGCCGAATTCACTTCTCACTGTCTTTATCTCTATCTCAGATCTGATGATTCCTAAGTATTCATCAAACTTTTGATTTTAATGTCCGTCTATTTCATTCATTTCCCTGCAGACAACCTAAGATCTCTACATCTCACTCAGCGACAACCTGGACCTTTTCTTTTTTCCATCTGCTTCTCCTGAACGATAGCTCAAGAATGGTTATCTCTCTCCCCAACTCACCTCAGGATTTTTACACACTATTGTTTTTCGGTGTAGTTCTCTGAAAACATGTTACCACCAGCAGGAAGGAAAGACCATTAGAAAGTTTGAAAAAAAAGATATAGAACAGAAGACTAAGGAAACTTAATATTAGGCTTAACACTGAAGACATATATATAAAAATATGGCATATCGCCACAACTCTATGTGAGTAGTGTGTGATAAGTCTTCCGTAGAGCCAAAAATTAGTATTCATAGTCATATATTGTAACATAAGGACCAAAAGCAATTTGCATATCTATATAAAAGGAAGAAGCTAAGATGACAGTGATTGTTGCAATAGATTTAAGAGAAACTTCCAAGCAACAGTGAGTCTGTTGGCTGTTCTGTTCTAGTATGCCTGAAGATGGTTTTTTAATTTGTTTCTTTTTTAATGTAAAAACATATCAATGTTTTGCTATCATTACTGATAGTAGGTTACAGGGTTTGTAGTTGATACAATAGCTGTTTAAAGTTTGCCTGTTCAAGTTATAAGTTATGCTTACAACTTGAAAATATTGTGTGTATCATATTACATAATAGTCAGCAAACTTACAAAAACATTACATAAATATAAGTAGTATATTTCAAGTTGATTAAAAAAGAAATTTTGTAAGTATATGGGAGCTGCAGCATGCAGCTTACAACCACAGTTTGGTTATCATAGCTATATAGAATAGTAATTTTGTTTCTTATGTTTAAATATGTCTTGTAAAACAAAATTATGTAAAATTAAAGTTGGAATATAATTAAATAAATGTATTCTAAATGATAACAAACTTAAAACATAATAATTTCAATTTTAGATTAATTGTTTTATTATTAATTATATTTATAGATGCAGGAATGAGATTGAGTGCAATCCTTTACCAGACAGTTTTATTTTAAATCCTCCAAGATCTGTGGAATTTCAAGCTCGTTGTGAAGGGACTTGTCGTGATGCCACTAAAATTTTATATGAATGGGAAATTATAATGAGAAATTATGAAACAGGAGAAACTATAATACTAACAAATTATTCTGATATTGTATATGGTAATTCAAGAATTAATCTGTTTTAAAATAAAATTTTATTTAAAAGTAAAATAATTAAATATAATAAAATTAAATACTAAAATAAAATGCATATTTATTGTTCCCAATTTAAATAGTTGACGCACATTTTATTTTATAGTTTATCATCAACGTCTTGCTGTTACTGAATTATTTTATGAACTATATCCAAAATACCTATTTATAAATGTAACTGTGAAAGCTTATATACAAGAATATGAAGTAATAGGATTTGCAAAATTGATACTCAGAATTAACAGACCACCAACAGCAGGCAATTGTAAATTGAAACCCGAAACAGGATATGCTCTTATTGAAAATTACATAATTACTTGTTCTGATTGGTCAGATCCAGATGAATTACCTTTAAAAGGTTATTATGTATATTGTAAGTATATTATTTCTTAAATTTTATTTTTCTTTCTGTTAAAATTTAATGTATAAAGTTTAAATAATTTGATTTCAGCACAGAAAAATAACGACTTTCGTTATTTATTATGGAGTGGAGTTTCTACAAATACTGTGCTTGTTCTTCCTTATGGTTTACTTGATATATATGTTAGTGCAGTGGATCATTATGGAGCAGAAACAACAATTTTTGTTCACTCAATAAAGGTATTTATCTTATATTAAAGCTATTTTTTTTATAAAGAAATAATAAACTAAACAAAAACTGAGATATTTATTATTTGATATTTAGACACTTCTCCCATCAAAAGATGAATTTAAACAATGGAATGAAACTCGTTCTCTTGAATTAGCCTTCAATAACTCAGATATTAATCGTGTAACTCAAATAATTTTAGCATATGTATCAGTTTTTATGGAATATAATGAAAATGTAAACTTGAACAAACCTCCTTTTGGTAAATATATTACTATTTAAATCATATTTTGTTTTTAAAAAATATTTTAATTTAAAAATGATTATCTACATAAATTTATTTCTTCAAATTCCTCAAACAAGTACATTTATCTGCTTTTTTGGAGATCAATTTGAAAAATGTTTTAGTTAAATTCTAATATTTTCAAGGTTCCCATTCTCAAGCAAATTCATGAAAGCAGGTAGATGTATGTGAAAAATCATTAGATATTTATATTTTATTGATGAATTTCAAAATAATATTTAGAAATTACTGATACTTATTATTTAGATTTTAAGAAAGATTTAAACATTTCTGAATTGATTAATGCTTCTTTAACAGTGAGTGAAATTTAAAGATGTTGACTATCTATTAAGATGTTAATAGTTGACTATCTTCCAAATAGTTATATAATAATAAAATAAAGATTTATCAATTTAGTGAGTCACTTAAATTTGCTTATTTTTCACATATATATTATTTTTCACATATAACTTTGGCTGCTCAAGTATTACATCAGCAAAAATTTGCTCTTTTTTGATCTCCCTCTACTGTCATCATTAGTCATCCAAAATCAAGATATCCTCTTCATCTAATTATCATCAGACAGAAGTTAATTCCTGTGTATTTTTCAAATGGTTTTATTTTCAATTTTATGATGATTGGGGAGAAAAAAATTGATAAGTGCAATCTTACATCATCAAAGACTCCCCTTTACTCCTCATCAATAATCATCGGATGTAAGCATGTCACAAACTTGATGCCACAAAATTTGATTCTGCATCATTTTTTATTTGAGCATCAAAAGATAGCTAAGCTTCAGCTTTCATGTTGTGTATCAGCAAGTTGCATTTCTGATGGCCAATAACAAACAGATCATTTGTAATCATATGCTACTTTAATAGAAGAATCTTTGACAATATTGCTACAGACCAGGACACACAAAAGAGGTGATTTGTTTAATGTCATTTAATACAAAAGCATTTATTCAAAAGATAGAATGCTATTATTTAGTTTATGACAGGAAAAGAAAGGCTATGAATTTAAGGATATTGCCTTAAAACAAAAAATATGGTAATCAGCTGTAGATGTTGTGTACATGTTTATATCATGATTGTGACAACAAAGTGCTATCAATTTCTGTTTTTGTTACTACATCACATGTGCATTATCCTTAAATGTTATAGACTTAAATTTACTTTTTTGTGAAACTCTCATTATGTAGGAATTGTTCTTTACTTAACTTAATTTGTATAAACATAAATTATATATATATATAAAAGTTACTCTCTTTCAGTTGCAATACATACAAACATTAAATAGTTAAAATTTATTACAGAAGACAAAGAAAGTAAATTAAGAAGAGAGATTAGAATTAACCAGACATGGGATAAATATAAAAACTTAACGGGAATAGATTCAAGTTATACTACAATTCAAGCAAGAAATGAAATTGCAGAAATGATAGAAGATGCAAACAACAATTTTCTTGAATTAGCTATAAAGGTAAAATAAGATATATTTTAGATTTTTTAAAAATTTATTTTGAAAATAATAAAATTTTAAATTAATTTTTATTATAATAGAATTAAAAAAAATAGTATCATTCACACAAAAAATAAATTAAACATTTAATTTTTTTTTAAATGATTAAATGAAAAATTATTTTTTTTTTAAAAATTATAAATTTTGATTAATCCGTGCTACTCCTAAACATTTAATTTTTGAATCATATTAGCACTAACATTTTTTGTTTTGAATAAAATTTACAAAATGTATATACAAATAGGCATTATATACTGAATGAAAATATACAAAATATGTAAATATACATTTCGATAGTGCAATCACAAGGGAGTGAGTGAGTGCACCCCTCTAAAGAAAATTAAAAAAAAAAAATTTGTCAAATTTTAAAAAAAAATGAAAAAACAGTGAGGTGATTAACATAATGGCCAAGAATAAAAGACAATTGGAAATAGCATTATAAAAAAGTAATTGGTCTTATTATAAATTTTATAATAAAAAAAACAGGTAAAAATTTTTGCATCTTTCTATTTGTAGTTTCTGGCTATACCACTGATACATTTAATGTATAATCCAATATATATATGAACATATATATGTTCATATATTGAATGGAGTACATATTTGAGTATACAGGGTGTATCAGAATGACTTTTTAAAAATTTGGGGGATTGTAGAGGATAAAATTTTGAATGTTTTGATATAAGGAACCCATAGCAGGAAATGTGATATAAAGTTTCTATACAGCACTTTGCACTTTGCAGTCGGTATGCTGAATGAAACAGCAAAATACAGTATTTATGATAAATTTTATTGACAAAATAGTACAGTGCAATCAAACTGTACATCAAATCAGTGGCTGCACTACTTTAGAGTAAATGTTCAATGTGATGACCACCAACTTCATTACATAATGTGCAACGACGAACCATGTTTTGTCCAACTCTCCATAAGATGCCACACTCCCCTCTGATGGTATTAAATGCTGTAAAGATGCACTCTGTAAGCTCATGAACTGTTCCTACTGGTATTGTGTACACAAGGGACTTTACATAACCTCAGAGAAAGAAGTCAAGAACAATAACATGACGTCAATGGACGGAAGGGTAACTACCAAAGTAAAGGGCGGTCAAGCACTTCCTGCCACTGTAGAAATGTTATATCATATTTCCGGCTATGGGATCCTTATATCAAAACGTTCAAAATTTCATCCTCTACAATCCCCCAAATTTTTAAAATGTTATTCTGATACACCCTGTGTGTATATATATATATATACACAGTATATTAAGGAAGTGAATCTAAGAATATCAACTATTATATAGTATATTAATTCATACTGAATTAGTTAATAGTTAATTAACATATTTTAAATTAGAAACGCTCGAACATTCAGCAAAGTTATTGCATTAGGTTGATGCAAATGTTTCTGAAATTTTCTAAACATCTCTAGATTATTCAAAATTGTTCTCTGAAAGATGGTTCTAGAAGTTTCTTATGGAGTATGTAAATGAAGGGTGTTGAGATGCACAATCATAAGTGAAAAAAATATTCTGTATAGCAATACAATTTTTTAAACGTCAAGTTTGATCAAATTTGCACATGTGTTCCTTGCAATTTTCAATTTTGTATAAAAGCAGCTGAATCTTATTGCCATATGGTGAAATTGTTTGGCAAGAATGTCATCTCCAAGTTTATAATCTGTGATTGGTTCAGTAAATTTGAAGCTGAGCAATATGAACTCAAAGATAAGCCATACTCAAGAAAGTCTTCCATCCTATCGGAGACAAACTGTGTCAGCTGGTGGAAGCCAACCCTGTGATGTACATACGAAAGTACATACCCCAACAAAAAAGAAACATACAAATATACATAAAAAGAAACAATATCTTTATTTTTGCTTGTGATGAACAAAGTTCTTTAGGTTTCCAATCCCCTCAATCAAAATAATAATAATACAGTTTTTTGCTATTAACAAAAGTGGGGGAACAACAATTTACAATGTAAAAAATATGTACCAATAATATTTATGATTGAAGTAAAACAAACTATGACTAAGGCTTAAAAGCTAACTTAATACTATGGAAGAAGGGAAGTGATAGATATAAAAAATATAAGAAATTGGATTAGAAGAAAGTGGGTACCTGGTCTTTGCATTAATCTTGGGTGGGATGCCAACTCTGGTCTTTTTTCTTGTGAAAAAGGATGATCTCTCTTTGCCAAACTTTCCTTGTTATCTTGTATGGACCTCTTCTTGTCTCAATTGCTGCAGAAACACGACCTTTCATGTTCTTTCCTATTGACATCCAAGCCAAGAGTGTCTGTTACTCCACTCCTTAGTCTTCAGGCCTCTTTCTTTTCTTTTTGTTCTAAGAATTGGTCATCACCACTCAAGGGGAAAGGGTTAGGAAAGAAAATTCTCGAAGGAATAGAACAACGGAACAAAGAATAAAGAAATAAAAACTAAACTTAAATGAACATATATAGAAAATAGGGCATACAGCCACAACCCATACCTGTGAAAAATTATTAGTGAGATAGTGATACAACTTTTTAAATATGTCAAGTTTGCCAATGCATTCTCACGATCAAATTTGCACATGTGTTGCACTTGGATTGGCAAGACACTTGGTTGTGACCAGTTTACTGTAGTTCATCACTTAACTTTGTGATGATGCAAGACCACATGTGTTATGGTTGGCCAAGTTGCTAGAGCTTAGTTGGGAGGTTCTACAGCCTCCTCCTTGTAGCTCAGACATTGTACCATCTGAGTACCAACTCTTCCATTCCATGCAACACTTCTTGGATGGAAAACAATTCACTGATGATGATGAAAACTGCACTTGCAGAGTTCTTCAAGTCAGAACAGCCCAAGTTTTATTTAGCAGGATCCTGTGAACCAGGGTTGATACATTGAAGCAGAGGTTCCTCTTTTCATTTGTGTTGCCCTTTTCTTAATCCCCAAGGCGGCCCCAAATTCCATTATCAACAAACAAAAAATCCATGACTTTTAGCCTATTCTGCAAATATAAAAGAAAGTAATTATTATATATAAATGAGGATGTTTGTTTGTTTGTTTGTTTGCTATGCACACCTAGACTGTTCAACCCAATTGCTACGAAACTCAGAAGCTACATTAACATATTTCTAACTTAGATAATGTCATAAATATTATCCCAAAATATTGATTGAATGTCTATATATTAATTAATTTCTGTCTACATTCGATTTTCTGGCTTTGCATGTTTCTGGCTTTTGCATTTTTTGCTATTAGCAAAAAATTTAATAAACTAATAAAGTGAATATAGTTCTTACAAAAAAGGATATAATTTTAAATATATATATATTATATTCACTTAATTACTTTGACAATGATATAGTTCAAAATAGATGTGCCATAATGCCGTTACTGTAACAGGTAGCGCACAGCACTTGCTGTGTGGAGTGGTGGTTTGCACCTGTACATCATGCTTTTCCTGTTAGCAATAGAGTTGTGCCAGTTATGCATCTAACTCTGTTCAGGGGAAATTTTTAAACTGAAATAATGTGACTTTTGGTTTTCATTGGAAGTTTGTATGTAGTTAATTAGTTAACTCTCCTACCCCTAAGCTTTCCATATCTGGTCTGGCATCATTCATCTATCTAACTTTGTTCTCAAGGGGTGTCTGAGTGCATTACTTCCATCGTGCTGTCTCACAGTCTTCCATCTGGAATCTGATCGTTTACACATGCAGTCACTCGCATGACCTACTTTCAAAAACAAAACAATTTTCTATCGTGGTTTCTGTATTGAATGGGACACAATGGTGTCATCCTGAAGCAGCATCAAAGAGGTGCCAACCCTCTAGTAAAATACTTAATGTTTAATTATTAATAGTAGCATTAATATAGTCTGATATAATCTAGCAATTTTTTTGGCTTTGAAAAGTATTCTTTTTAAGGGAGCTTCTCAAACATAAATCAAATTGGCTTAGAAATGAACAAAATTTGACAATATATTTTAATAAAAGAAAAGCTTGTAAAGTAAATAAGAATTTATTAGGAATGTTTTCAGCTTATTATTCAGCCATATGATGCAATCTTTGTTTATTTATACTTTTGCTTTCTTTTTCCTTTTTCTGAATTTACATTGACCAGCAGTGAGCTGGGCTCAGCATTTACATCTGGTTATCCTGAATCTAGATTGCAGTAGATGTGCTCTTCATATTAATTGGTATAGGCCAAAAATGTTTTTAATAAATTTTTACTTTTGCTTTCTTAACAGGCAATTTTAGTTTTTTTTTTTTTTTTTTTAATGTAAATTGAATTGAAGCTGTTTATTCAGAAATTCTTAATAAAATTTGTTAGAAAACCTTATTGCTTGTTGGACTATATGCTCATCATACAAGTCAACAAGAGACAGCCGCAATATGAAATGTAAATAAAATATCTGGATTACTTGAAAATATTGAAACTAAATATGTATATACTTATAATTCTTTCAGTTATATTATTATGCAATACATTCTTCCAATATTATGTGATTATACAAAGGATTTTTGAGATATTAACTTAAACCAACACTCGAAAAACCTTAACAGTCCAGTACTAAATATTTAATACAAAACAAACGTTTTGTATTAAATATTTAGTTTTTTTTTTTTTTTTAAACCCGAAGAAGACCGAAAGTACAGTTAAAAACGTTTGTTTTCTATTAAATATTCAGTACTGGACTGTTAAGGTTTTTTGAGTGTTAATTTATATGCATTCCAGTATTTGTGTTCGAAGGTTTTTTAATTTAAGTTATCTTAAACCATAAAATAAAAAAAAATATGATGCAAATGGTATTTATTAACATAATTTGTAATCTATAATAATTTACATTTATCAGAAAGTTTTTAAATTTAAATAATAAATTCTAATTAATTTATATTTCAGAAAAATAATGAAGTAATGAAATCATTGTTATCATTACCTATAGTAACAGTAGAAGATTCAATGGTAATTTCTGGTGCATTTAGTATGCTATCAATGGATGCACCCATGAATAAAGAGGGATTGGTATAGAATTTTAAACATTAAAAATATTATTTTTTTATGATTTTAAAAATAATAATGTTTTTTTAATGTAATTTTTTTAATGTTTTNATGGAGAAGTATGCAAATAACAATTATCCATATTAGTGATAACATATTTTTTGAAGAACTCTGTTCATGACTCATCTATTAAGAATAATTTTATAAAAGTATTGTAACAGCACTATTTGAACATTTGAACTAAAGCATGTCAATAAAATTTTGTTTTAGTCTTATGACTTTATTTTTAGACATTTTGATGAAATAAATGTTTAATTTTGATTAAACATTTAAGGACCCCTTAATATTTTTAAGCATTTTCATATTTCTTTGATTGAATGAATTGTATAGATCTGATCTGCACCCTTTTTTTAAACTGAAAATATAATTATAATGTGTATAATTATGTGAGAATCTGCAGGTTAGAGTGTTATTGCTCTAAACCCTTTTAGCAGCATCAGACTCATGAAGCCTGCTCACTTTGTCAGTGGATGGCTATATATTTTATTTTTATCTCCAAGATTGGGGAATGTTTGAGACGTCAGGCTCCTGATACCAGTTAGGATAGTTAAAAGGCACATCCTAACTTGCAATTATACAAATCTATTCTTAAAGATGCATTCAAATAGGAGGGGTTGTAGTTTGAGCAGGAAAAGTCTGAAAGCAGGAAAGCCTGTTGAGCAGGAAAAGCCTGTTGATTGCTTTAGTCCATCAACAGGGTGACCATCAAAATACATTTAGAGCAGAGTCAATTTAACAAATAACAAAGGTGTAATAAATAAAATAAAGTAGTGGTTGAAAACAAAAGGAGATTAAAATATATCTATCAACAAACTAGCTACTTATACCTCTAATTAACTGAGAGAGTTTACATCAATCTGAGTATAATATCTCTGGTAAATTGATAGATGTCTTCGGATCCAGTCTATTCAAACATTGGGACAGTGATCAAGGATCTTCCCTGGAGGTTGCTTTCACAGAAGAGATGGACTAGAGCTTGGCCTACAAGCTTCAAGGGGAGAGTCCGACCTGAGCCTGGGATTTCTGCCCTTTTTATCTTCGGCTCTCCTCCAATTGGGGGGTAAGTCTTTCCCACCTGATGGGATGCAAAATCTTTGCATAGGCAGCTGTTTCATCAATGGATGAGATAAGATCTTTCCATGAGAAGTTGAAATACTGATGGAAAGTGTTGTATCCTTTTCTCTTACCATTTTATGAGAGAATGAATAATCATATGATTTGTTTCTGCCAAAAACTATTTTAATTAAATAAAATCCAGAAAAACCTCCAAATTTAAGAATGGGTGCTTGTCTTTATGCCTCCAGGTTCTCACAATTATATAGATTCTATATATTATTTACTTAAATTTAAATTGCATGAAACATTGTGAACATAACCCTCATATAAATTAAGAAGTTATGCACTATTTCTGTGCTTTTCTGCACACATAGTACGCTTTCATTTTAATGCTGCAATATAATATAATCTTTTTGAAGACATTTTAAATGGCACATCTTGATTATAGAGTCATTAAATGTAAAAAATGTATATCTTAGAACTGAGATTCTAATATTTTATTATATTTTCATTTTAGTTTACACAGGACAATTCTCTCACTAAGAAATCCAAACATTCCTCAATAATTTTTTTATTATTTTATGATTTTTTATGGAATTTTTTAACATTGCTTTAGAAAGACCTTGTTTTACAAGATAGAAGATAAATTTTCATAGAAGACCATAAAACAATAAAACAGTTATTGCAGAATGTTTGGGTTTCCTAGTGAGAGAATCACCTTGTATGTAGTAATTGAATTGAAATTTTTAAAAATTTTGTTTAGACATTTGCTAAAAAGAAAAGTGGCAATCTTAAATTGAGAAGTGATTTAGAAGAAGCCAAAGAAAATCTTGAATTTAATGCCACTCAACCAAATCCTTTTATATATTTTGGTAAGAAGTGTATTTCAAATTGTGAAGTTTTTGTTTTAGTTTAGCTAAATATTTGCTCTTGTGTAGATCTATATTTTTTAACATCTAACATAAATCTTAATATGTTAGATGATTAAATGAAAAATTTACTTGTTTGGAGTAGACTTAACAATGTCATAAGTTTGTTATGTTTATTCTGCTCATTTTTCTCTGCTACCATAGACTTTAAAATATTATCTTTTAAATTCCTGAACAATAACACTAAGTCCACTCCTCACTAATAAATTTTTTGTTTGATCAACCTTGTATAAAATATACTGTTAATATACTGTTAAGATCAGATGCTGTTTGTGTAGCTTAATGGTTTTCAAAGTTACATAGTCCACAGACCACTTAATTCAAGCCACAATAGATCACATACAGTGATACCCCGAACTTACGTGATAGGTGGGACCAAGCGATAACCACGTAAGTCGGGGTATAATTTCTCAATTTGTGTAAAATCCAAGTCAGATGTATGTAAGCTAATAAATGTTCTTGTTAATCTTATCCCGTTTTTTGATTCATTCACGGTTACAAAAAATCACCATATAGAGTCTCTCAAGTCTCCGTAGATATAACAAACACAGAAATAAATAACACAAAATAAATTGTAACTGTGCGTTGATTCCGTGCGACACATCCGAATATGTAAGCTGAACAATAGTGTGGAGGGAGTGAATAATCAAGAGCTGCGTGCTGCTCAAACAAAAGACGAATCGACAAGATTTGAAAATCGCGTAACTCCGGGTTCGTGTAAGTCGAGGTATTACTGTATATCTTCATCCACATATTATCCCATAAAAATTACCTTAGGTGCCTGCTAAAAAATTTTGAAAAATCTAATTCTATTCAATAACCTAATGTAAGAAGTAATTTATGAATAAAAATGATTCCTTTCTGTGGCTAAACAGCATAGAATTGCATTTAAAAGAAATAACTAGGCAAGTCCAAAGATTATCTGGCACATGTTTGCAGACTACTAGTAGTTCTAAGGGCATGCTTTGAAGAACCACTGGTTTAGACTAATCATTCAGTTATGCCATGATCAAAAGAATTAACATATTAAAATTTTATCTAAAGAGAAAAATAAATTTAGCTTTGTCATTGATAAAATTTAATTAAATTTTAATAAAATTTTCTTTAAACTTTTGTTTAAAAAATTATTTATTAATGATATTTTTATTTGTTAGTTGAAGAAAAAAGTGCAGATGAAACTAAACATGATTTGAAAGAAAAATATACAAATGAATCAATAAATGAGTCTGATAAATTGGTAATATTTAAACTTAGTTAAGTATATTATATTACATTATAGTTTTATGAAATATTATAATTGATGTTTTTTATTTTCAGTCTGAGAAAACAATGGAGAAAATGAATGATATATTAAATTTCTTAAAACTAGATATTTTAGAAACTTTATTAGTTACTAGTCCTCCCTGGTTAATTAATACTGAATCAGGATTTCATCTATATGTTAACAGGTAAAATTAATAAAATATCAGATTAAAAATTTTTTCACTCAACTGATTTGTATTAAAACTAATTATAAAACTTATTTTGTATAAATAAATCACGTTGCTTTAGTAAAGTTGTCAATTTTCCTGGATTTTTCAGAATTTGACAAACATTTCCAAATTCTTCTAAGTCCCAGTTTGAAGATTGTTTTTTTCTGTTTTTACTCAACATGATTATCTTAATTGTATTAAGGAGATATATTATTAGATTGAGAATTAGTTAAGTTGTTGTTCTTGAAGAGCATAAATACCGTGGGAGTGATACAGAAGGTTTCTGAACAATCTCCAGAATAATCATTATTTCTCCCAACAGAACTGAGATTCTGGTGGGAGAAATAAAGATTATTCTGGAGATTGTTCAGAAACCTTCTTATTTCTCCCACCAGAATCTCAATTCTGTTTACTTAATAAACTGGCTCACCCACTACAAGTTTAAAAGGAAGCATTATTTTGGGAATCAGTCATATTATAACTGCTTCTTTGGGAAATAAGTTCAATTGTTTTCCTGTTAAAAGTAGTTATTTAGTCAATATTTCTTTTTAATTTGTGAACATATTTGCTCACCAAAAGACTAGTGAAGGACACTTTATTTAGGTTATTGTTTTATCAGTTTTATGATGCATCTTATTAAAATAAAGCAAGTTATAAAGATTAGTTGAAATTTGATGTATTAAAGAGGACATTTCAGAGTTGTTCTTGGTATATTATTCTCTTATAGTATGAATGCACTTCGATCTAAACAAATGAGTTAACATAACATATCACAGTTCTGACAGAATTTTCATTTCAAATTTTGAAGTAGCCATATTTCAAACTAACTGTATACCTTAACATGTAAATCTCTATTTTGAGCCAGGACAAATGTACAGTTATGAACTAACAGGATTTTGAACTATCCTAGTTTGAATTAACAAGGCTTTCCTGTATTAATGTTTCTATACATTCAATTCTGATTTTATGATTTGTGTTCAATTTAGAAATAAAATTTTAAAAATAGAATAGTTTCTATTAAAAATAAAAAAATATCATTTATAGTTTAAAACAATTAATTAATTAATTTTTATATATATTATATAGACGTGCAAGTATTTATCCTGTTTTTTTATTATTATTTTTTTAGAAGCAGAATGGAGGAACTTTCTGAACTCAATATATCACAAGGATCAGCAATTGTTAAAATACCAGATGGTTTGGATACATTCTTTAATGATGTTGAAGAGGATTTCTCTGATATAGGAATTGTGGTTGGTTTTACATTATAAATTTAAATAATGTGATTAACTTCTGGTTTGGTCTGGGAAACATGTGATTTTTTTTTTAAATTAAAAGATGGTTGAAAATTTCAGCCTGGCATTGTGATAATGTCACAATAAATAATTGCTTGTTACCAATTATTTTTAGTTAGAGTAATTAAAAAATTGAATTATTATCAATTGCTGAAGTTATTCTTCAAAAAATGTCATGTGATTCTGTATATATATACAGAATCATAATATATATATATATATAGTTTCTTGATAATATGTATGGTATATACTTTATTATTAAATTGTAATTTCTATTCAATTGAATTTTCTAATAAAATATTGTATTTACATTATATTTCTAGGCTATGAAATGGAATTCTTTAACTAATTCATACGTGAAAAATCTTAAAAATCTCCCTGATGGTACTTCAACATTAATGTTGGAAATTGCAAATAAAAATCAAAATGTCTACAATATTGAAAATACTACAAAACCATTTGAAATTTGTATTCCTCGATGGGAGGATGTGGTAAATGTTAAATTCATTTACTTTCTAATAAATATAAATTATTTTTATCTAAATTATTTTATATATACACAGTACATTCTTACTAATTGAAACTTGACCTAACCAAGTTTGTTTCTTTGTTGAATATTCTAATCAAAATCAAAAATAAATCAAAATTACTGTTTAAAAACATGACAAATTTGTAAACTTAACATGTTCTGTACAATTTATTTATAAACTGTTGAACCTGTCTATCTCAAATCTCACAGAAATGAGAAAAAATTTTAAAATAAAAAGGTTTCAAGATATAGAGGTTCCTACACAGTAAACAGTAATAGGTTAATAGGTTTTATTGGAGGTACAGTATTTTATTTATACCGTAATAAGTACAGTACACACCTGTATTAGATATAAATAAAACATTTTTAACATACCTTAACAGAAATACACTCCTTGAAAATGAAATTGCAACACTATGTAGGAATGCACATTGCAGGACTTAGATGCATTGTAGAGGTGAGAGATATGCAAATGAGTAAAAAAACAACAAAACTATGCAACAGACACCTGTTTATTCAGTAATGAATATGGCCCCCATAGACAGTTATACAGGCTACTATATTGTGAGGCAATTTATGGTTGCCTGAGGTATCCCTTGCTAAGCTGTATCCATTGCATTGCACATGTCGTCTAAGGTATGTGACAGTGGTCCCTGGTACACCTCGCATTGAATAAGGTCCCACAGATGTTTGATGAGAGATAGGTCCAATGAGGCTGCCAGCCAAGGAAGGATGTGAATTCCATTCACACTGGTGAGAGTTCACTGTGCAAAGTGCTGTCAGGCACTGTCATGCTGGAACACCATTTTGGATGTGGCCTGCATTAGTGGCCAAACCACAGGCTCCACAATTCATGTGATGTACTGGTCTGCTGTCAGAGTATCAGAAATGTGCACCAGAGCTGTCTGCTGATCGAACATGATGCTCAGTGTGAAGCAGGTATGATATTCAACAAAAAGGGCTGGGATGTAGCGTTTTCCGGGATACTGCCACACCCATCCATGGTTATCATTCCTCCACAGACAGAAGTGGGATTCATCTGTAAACAATATCTGTTGCTATTCCAGTGGTCCAGTTGCAATGATGATAACACTACACCAGGCATGCAGCTCTGTGTCAAGCAGTTAATGGCACCTCTGTTGCTGTGCATGCAGCCCAACTTTATGCAACCTGTTGTGAATGGTTTGTGTGGACATAGATGCACCTGTTGATGGTGACAGGTGGATTCAGATGTTACGTGCTGGACGAACAGGTCCCAACAAGCCGTTCAGAAAATCTGCCAATCTGTGTGCTCTGTCATGAGTCAGTGCAATCCACTTCCTCTTTGATGTGTTTGCAGATGTTCCTGCATCCATTGTATCATACATCACTGTATTGTACTCATGTCATGCCCAACACAGGTGGCAACTGCATGCATTGACAAATCAAGGTTACACAGCTCTAGGGTATGATCTCATTCCCTAGCTATTAACTGGTGATATTCAGCTCACTGCATATGCAAGGCATTTTATATGCTTCTTTGAAAGTTCAGCTGTTGCAAATCGTCACTGATAGTATTTATGGCCCAAGCTAGTTGCTGGTCTTTATAGTTTGAAACTGAGTACCACTTGACTGATGTGTGTGCTAATTTATTGATTTGCATATGCAACACCTCTACTGGTCCTGCAATTTGAATGTGGCTATGCATATTCCTTTCTGGTGTTGTAATTTCATTTTTGAGGAGTGCATTATTTGTAATAATTTTTGTGAAACATTTTCTTCAAATTATAATCATATTTGTTGTACTGTGTAGTTCTAAAATTGAGTAACATTTCATAAGAGAGCAATTGTTACTGCTACATATATTTAAGTTATAATTGTTAAATAGATACTAGTTCAAGTTTTATCATTAGGAAATGCTTATTTTTATTATAGGAAATTTAGTTTGACTTATTTTACTTTTGTAATTATAATTCTAAATATACTATTTCTCTGTAATAGCTTACAGTTTTTTATAAAAAATAAACAAGATATTTAAGCAACTATTATATTTAATTAAATTGTATTTTTTCTCCCTTAAGAAAACAAAAGAAATTTCTCCACCATTTGAAGAAGTAAACTTTGAAGATACGAGATCAATTATGTGCCATTGTCTAACTGTATCAACTAAAAACGTTGCTGTAGTCATAGACATAAAAACTATAAAAAATATGGATGATAAAATTATTATAATATACAAAACTGGCAAAAAACCTTCTTTATTTAGCTACGATGGTTTATATAAATTAAGGGAAATAAATTTAGAAAATGGTAATTATTAAAAAATTAAAATTATTTAACAAATAAACAGGTTTGCACCATTTAATGATGGGAGTATGTTCTGAGAAATATGTCATTAAGCCAACAACAAAGAGTGTACTTAGACAAATCTGTATGATATAATCTACTAATGATATAAGCTATATGTAATGCAATGGTAAGTATTTATGTATCTATACATATCTAAACATAAAAAAAGTGCAAGCAGCTACAAATTTTTCAGCCCCATCATAATCTTATGGAACTTATGTCATTAAGTGGCACATACCTGTATATTTTTTTCCTTTTTATTTTATTATTGTTTAATAATTATAAATAAAATTATATTTCTAGATGTATATCATCAGATGATAAGAATAAATAAAGAACCAATGCCGAATAAGACATTTTGCTTGTGTCTGGTTCTTCTTGAAGATCATAAAATAGATGAAATAAGTAAAGATTCAAAAAGTATAGCAGTTGCATATTTATTGAGAAATTATGAATCTTTCACTTATTATATTCGGATTTATACAACTGGTTGCTATTATTTTCATAACAATTCTTGGATTTCCAATGGATGTGAAGTAAGTTCATAACATACAATGGTGTGCCAGTAAATTTTAACTGGGTTCATCTGCTAGTTTTACTAACTTTATTTAATGTTAAATTATGCAATCAAGTGTTATAATAATTTGCTATCTTAATCAAAATTCATTTCTAGAAAGATTTTATATAAACATAAATTTATTATCGTTAAAATTAATATTTGAATTGGATTACTGTATTTACTCACTCATAAGACGATTTCGCATATAGGACGAAGTGTGACTTTAAATATCAAAATAAAGAAAATTAAATTTATTAATACAATTTAATTTTATTTCATTTAATCACAAATAAAATGTCAAATGCACGTAAGTGCATACATTGTCCACAAAAATTACTGGCATTTTAAACTTTAAGGAAAAATCTTGTAAAATTGACAACATAATTTGTTCATGTAAAGTTGGACAATTGGGAACCTTTTTTGCCAGTTCTTAACAGTCAAGTCCACTCTCCGTCAATTACACTTATGAGTTTCTCTGAATTCTGATTTCCAAATAATCATCTATTTTCAAGTAGGAATGGATTAAAACTTTATCGGGCTCCCCGTGTGATTTTTTTAATTTCAATTGGAATTCAGTTCAACTTTTCCTATTTCTATTTACCTTTACTCCTGACAATACACAAAAACGATTGAAACGACCCAGATAAAATACTTTTGTTTTTAAACACCAGAGGGTGAGCATCCAGTAAAAGATGCAACACATAGTTCACAAGAATTATTGCAAAAACGCAAAGAATCCTTCGCTTATGCATATAGGATGACATAGGTTTTTGAAGCAACGAAAAATGAATAAAAATGCAGAAACTATTCTATCCACAGCACTGGGATGAAAATNAATATGGTATTTTATTTTTAAGCTAAATAAAAACTATTTGCAAACTTAAAATTTTTAGATATCTAATAATTTTAAGAAAACTTTCATTTCTTTTTGTTTTATTAATCTTTCAAAAGAAATTTTTATAATATATCAATAGTATATGTATCTGAACTAATTAATGCACCTTTAATAATGTGTGAAGTTAAAAGAATGCCAATAGAACAAAATGGATCAGTTTCAACTCATTAGCATTCTTTTAACTTCGCCTACTGTTAAAGGTGCATTAATTAATTCAACTGAATAACCACAGTGGCTAGTTCATCATCTTCATATAGTGAATTTAATAATGTTTAGAATATTTTATTTAAAAAAAATGACATAAGAGAGAATTTTTATTATTTAAAAATAAAGAAGTAAGAGAATCAATTCAAACTATTTATCTTCAAGCAAAAACTCTAATATTTGCAGAGTATACACTCATTATCAACAGTCATCTAGAAAAAGAAAGATTAAAGCTTGTTGCAAACTACAGTGGATCAGAATGGTTAGAATTGTTTAATAATAAGCATTTAATTGAATTCTGCACACTTATTTGGATTGAAATCAATTTTCAGAGGAGGAATATTTTGATTGACTCCAAAACAATGTACAGGTATGCTGATAACTTCTTTTTATTGTGTCATGTCATTCATTTCAAACACATGCTTGTTTCTGTTTGTTGGAAATTATTTGTTTGTAATTGATTGGATATATTTTGTTTTTACTCAAAATGATTGATGATGAGAAGTTAATAAATTTAAAATCAGCAGTATCCAATTATTTATGACATTTCACACAAATATTAACTCTGGAAGAAAATGAATGAAAAGAAATTATGAAACTCTAAATAGAAATTGTAAGTAATAAAAATTTTGATCTTAATATACAGACAAAATTTATTTTTGTTTGTAAAAATATTCCTATTCTAGAAATTCTGATTTGATCTGTTGTAGTGTGCAGCAAGCTTGAGAGAAGATGCTAGATTACAATTTACTAATAGTTTCCTACAGAAGAATAGCAATATATAAATAAAATAAATTTATTTTGGTGTGGGATGCCTATAGCATGTTGATGTTTATTGAGAAATAAAAATTGAACAAAGTTGTTAGATTATCTTATTAATTAATATTAAAGTTTGATATAAAATTTTTTATTTTTATTTTATTTTTTATATTTCAGGTCGCTTCAGTTAATGTTCTTTTAACTTGTTGTCATTGCAATCATTTAACATTGTTTGGTGGAGGATTTGTTATTGCACCAAACACAATTAATTTCGATTATGTTTTTTCTCACGCTGATTTTGGTGACAATATCATTATTTATATTACATTAATTGTCACTTTCTGTATCTATATAATTATCCTCATTTGGGCAAGATGGAAAGATAGAAAAGACTTAGAAAAAGTAAGTTATGAATGAAAATACAGGGAAAATAAAATCTTCTAAAAAATAATGGTATTATTTTAAAATGTCTAGTTATGTTATCTTAATTATTATATGAGAAATGTGATGCACCACCAATCAATAGAGTAACCATCCAGTTTCATCACCCATCTACATTCAGACATCTTGTTGTCTACTGCCACTAAGAAAGAGCGTAAATGAAAATGGCAAGTCGGTAACAGAGAAGGCATTTGGTGTTTTGCAGTTCATAAAGCCAAAATCACTCTTAGTTGTGCAACATGAGTTTTTCAGTCAATTTCAGATTGATCCACCATGTAAGATTTATCCATTCTTCAATGATATTGACAGGTTCAGGAGAAAGGATGCATTTTCAAGGGGAAAAGTCCAGGACAATCCAAAATGCCTTCTCTGTTGCAAAGTCACCTGTTTTCTGTTTTGTTTATAGCACTTCTTAGAGGCAGTAGAAAAAAATGTTTGAATGCAGATAGGAGATGAAACTCATACAGTTACTCTACTGATTGGTGTATATCATACTTCTCAGGTAGTAATTAACATAATTACAGTAATTTAAAAAGGTAGAATTCTTTTTGGAAGATCCTGTACATTAAATCTGATAGTAAATATTTTAATAAATTATAATTTTTACTTTGAACAATAGATAGGAGTTACTCCACTACCTGACAATGATATAAATGACAAATACTTTTATGAAANAACAAAGGTTACCAAAATGAACATAGGGGATGAGTATAACAGACAACTTTCTATATGTTTTCAGTTTTTTCACTAAGCCCCAAGTAGAGACACATAATGAAAACTGTGTTGGGGAAAAGAGGAAACTACATGCAATTCTTCTCTGAATAGCATAATTTACTTTAATTCAAGTGGTCTTCATTTTATTGGAACATTATATTAGCATGTTGCAGAAACGATACTGTGTTGACCTGTCAATAATTCATTTTCATATATCACACTGTCATCGTTGACTTCAGGAAACACCAGTATGTTGCCTGTATTTCTGTATTTTCATATAAATTTAACATGAACTTCAGTGTATGATTCACTGTCAGACTCATTCTCTGAAAGAACAACAATAATGAATTTCTTGATGTTTCTCTTATCATCTGTCATGTGCATGACCAAGTAGTCTCCTGGCTTAATTTCACTGATTCTATTTCAATATTCCTAGCAAAGGGTGTTGCACAATATCTGATTTGTCAGTAAAATCTTCCATATCATTAGAATCATCTCAGAGGTTTTGGTAATCAACAGATTGTTTGCATTCTGAGTGAGTGAGAAGTGGTGCTTTTTGCTTTCTTGCAGATGATTTTTATTTCTTGGGTTTGTTGCTTAGAAGTAAGTTTTGTGCAACATGCTTTTTTGACTTTGAGTTTTTTCTGCTTTTGTTTTCAGTTCTGCAATGGGGAGATTACTTGTGAGGATGACTCTGTTTCTTTCAACCTGATACCTCTTTCTTCAAATCTGCTTTGGAATTGGTGCAATACCTTCTGGAGACAATACATAGCATGAAAATATGGTGTCTCACTAGTCATCTTGCACTGTGGCTAGCAAGACAGCATATTATTGTGAAGTAGCTAGTAGTTTCATGATATCATTTTGAACATTTCAAATTGCTTAAAGATGGATTACTCCAACCGTGCCTCCCATAAAATGACTTGGTATTTAATTTTGCCGGAGTCAAAGTTGGCCTATTAAAATTATCAGGAGTCGGAGTCGAGTGTTTTTTACCAACTTCGCAGCCCTGCTAAGAAGTAAATATTTTCTCTTTTCTCATAATTCCATTATTGAAAGATAATTATGTGTATAATATTTTGTTGCTTGTTAGGTAAGAGATTATATATTTAAAAATGATAGCCTATATTTTGACCCCATTTCCTGTCATCTTGAATTATTGTTGGATGTCAAAATGTCTCTCATTAGAATCCCAATTCATTTTAAAAACATGCATATCTATGTAAACAATTGCAGCCATTCATTAGTTGTTATTTTTATTGATATAGAGGTGAGGTAAGGCCATAAATAAAATTTTTTGTTATCCCAATCCTTCTGGTTGGTAGCATACACTTTGCTACATAATTAAGCAGGCAGTTTTCCACAAACAAAAGTGGAAAATAGAATATTGATGCCATATATTGCTGTACATGGAGTTTGCTGAAATAAATAATAATGTAAATAATTATTTTTAATATCACAAAATATCTTCAATAAAACAGCTTGGTTTTACAAGTTTTGCAGGTTAGCAAATCACTGCTGCAAATGATACATTCATCTGAGAAGTATGCAGCTTACACTATTGAGAATCCTATAGCATATGTTTAAACTAATTTAATAAAAATAAAATTGTAAGGTTTTTGGAATTTGCTGTTTATTAAATTGTAGCTTTCTTATTTTTAACTATGACATATGTAAGTGTTCTGGTAAGAAGGATGTGTGCATGTGCATATGAAGGAATAGGAATAAGAGGACATTGGATATCCTTTATCGGGTCTACCAAAATCTGGTCAGTTTAGATAATAAGCATTTATCCATAAGAAATTATTTTTGAGACTAGACATGAAAATGTTAGTCTAGGTTTAACAAAAATAGTACAGTATATAAACTTTTTGACTTCCTTAATTGTTTTGTATATTCAAAAAAAAAAAAACTGAGCTGCAAAAACATGTTTCCATCAGTTACGTTCCACATGGGTATACTTGGCCAAGGTCTTGCCTTAGAGGTCTCATCTCATTGCTCATTACTAATATTTTTGTTCTATATCTATCTATATAATGCCTCTAAACAAATTGAACTAGGGCATTGAAAATACTTAATACATACTGAAGATTTATGCTAAAGTTTACTATTAATCAATAAATGAATTTATATACTGTATTGCTTGAGTTTTAATAATAATTTATTTACTTAATTCAAAATAAATCATAATAATTCAAAAATATATTTTTTTAATTTTCAATATTCATTCATATTAATGTAGGTATCTTTTCTTGTATCTGGAGATGATGATGAAACAGGCGTTCGAATGTTAATAGATGACAAACGTCCCATTTTACAAAGGAAAGCAATTGATGTATTTGTTATGGCTGTACCAAGGTAAGCAAATTTACAAATTGTTGTAAGAAAAACTATTCTTGGTCATTAAATTTCTTGCAATATACTTTATTTACTTTTATTTTTAATTTAGATTTATACTCAGAATTTATTAATTATTAAATTTATTTCTAAATATCAAGAATTAGATACTTTTAAGTGTTTTAAATGTGTACCTATTACACATATAATCTGTAATTTTACTAGATTTTTAGATTTAAAAAGCAAATAAATTGCCTCTCATGAAGACTTTTAAACAAAATATATTTTAATTAATACAAGTTGAATTCTTTTTGCATATAATTAACATCTTTTTACAGAAAATAACTGATACACCTTTAACACTGTGTAATATTGAAACAATGCCTGGTTAATGCTCGAAAATAGGCCATTTCTCAAGTCAATAAACCAGCAATGAATTGCTCAATCTTCCCAGCAACATTTAAAATTTTGGTGGTGCCATTTGTTGTTATATTTTATTTTTTAAAACTTTTTATATTTTTAACTATTATAAAATGGCAAAAAGCTTAATTTTGGGGTAGGGATGAGTTTTGTAAAAAATTGTAAATGCTAATAACAAGCAAAATCGTCATTAAGTTTGACCCTACTGGAGATACACGCAACTCCATTATTTCCTCCTCGATCTTTAACCACCAGATAAACAAATATCTCTGCAAAATTTCAGAAATTTTCGACAAAAAGCACAGGAGTTATTAAGCTTCAAACAGGGTGAACAAACTTGTGCCCCCATACACACTAACATCAATACATACAGAAAAACCCCCAAAATTTTTTTGCATTTCTTAATGTTTCAAGGTGGTTTCAAGGTGTCCTAAGTCCAAAAATGTAAAAATCTGGGGGGGATCATTTTTTGACTGATTCCCTCTGTTATATTTAACAGCTGGGAAAGTAAAAATATTTGTTTTTCTTCAACTTTAATCACTGTTAAAGGTATATTGATTACTTCATTAAATTAAGTAGCCTACGGTAGCTAGTTCAATTTTATCAACAGAAAGGAAGTATAGTACATTTCATAGCTTTGAATTTCTGTTACAAAACTGTAATAAAGAAAATATACCTATATTCAAGTTGCTTATACAAATGATAACTAACTTCATATTTATGATTTGTTTAACATACAGTCATTCACAACAACTTTGAGCATGCTTTCAAAAGAAATAGTTCACAAAAAACAGTACTCTTTCTTAAAAGTTGTCTCCAGGAGTAAATTTATAATGAGCAATTATTTATTGTGACATCATCGCAATGCTGGGCTGCAATTTTTAATCATATTTTTCATTTATTTAATTTAAAGTATATGCTCCACCTCAAGTTAGTAATGGTTTGCCCCTGTACATCATACTTTCCCTTTAATGATAGAGTCATGCTGGTCATCTAAAAGCTTTCAGTGGAAAATTTTTGAATTGAAATAACATGACTTCTGATTTACATCAGAAGTGTGTATATAGTTAATCGGGGCCTCCTTTCCTCAAGCTTTCCATATGTGGTCTTGACCGTCATATATCAAACTCTATTCTTGAGATTAAGGAAGGACGGATGGACAGATGACAGTTAGAATTTATAGGTCTACAATTTTTTTCAAATTGCAGCCCAATAATTAACAGATGTTCATATTTTTATGACATTACAGTTGCATCTACAGTGAGACAGATAATGTCTCCACATTATCTGTCTCATTTTGTAGCATTCAGTGATGAGATAACCACTTCTTTGTTTCATGCACAAAATTACAGTGAATGGACTATATATATTTGTATTTAATTCTGTCAGAATAATAATTATATTTGCATTTTTTATTTCCATGTATCTTGACATACATATAACTGAAATGATTATCTACTTTGCACTAGAAACATTTGGATTTTAGAATTTAGCATAATTTGTAGTAAATGACACACATTTTATTTTGGATGTTCTCATTTTTATTAGAACTGATGGAAAATATATTATTTTATTTCATCCTTTAGTGTTTGCCCAACTTTGTTATATATACAGTAGAGCAGTGTTTCTCAACAGGGGCGATATCGCCCCCATGTGGGCGTTTTTCCATGTTGAGGGGCGATTAGTAGCAATTTATATTTGGGGGCAAAAAACAATTTTCTGGACGATATAGTAAAACATTATATTAAGAATAATTAGATATTTTATTCATTATATCGTACAATAATTAAACAAATAACATTACACTAGTCTAACAGCACAAAACCTTTCTCACTAATTTCTAGCCTTATTAACTGGAGTACAAACGTTTTCGGCCTTCTTAATAGGCCTTCCTCGGGTACACTGTGGAGCGTCGGTTAGAAGAAGTTTAAATGATGCCAATGTTTACCCAGGTGTCGTCTTACCCGTGACGTCTTCGTCGATGATAGGTATACGATACCGAGGGAGAAAAACTACATACTTTTGGTAAAGAAGGGAGGTGTGCAGATAGGATACTTGCTAAAGTTGGGGAAAAAGATTTTAGAGTAAGCGCGCTACGTACAGGAGATGCACAATCACCACAGGGGGTTAGTGGGGAGTGACGTCATAGTTGAGGCCGTAAATATTCAACGCTACCGTAAGAAGAGGCGTGCGAACGACC